CTTTAAGAGCTCAATATATATTACCTCTACTTATGACCAATAAGCTGTGATACTCTATCTACAGTAAATATAGAATATGAACCCTGCTTGGTCTTTACGGTGTTTAATCAGAAGATTCTAGGATTCTTTATTTATTAGGGGATTGTACACACTTCGTTTTGATTCAGAAAAGAGTCGGGTTTATAAAGTCAAAATTTATTTTACAAACAATTAAAACATGACAAGTTAACTAAGCATTTACTGTGATGGATGGAACTAGATGTGATGTATGAAACCTATGTGTGAATGTGGTGTTAGTCAGAACTTCCGTATATAGGAGAGCTGAGTTCTGGACGCAAAATAATTTGGTTTGCGTTAAGCTATGAAGTTGGTTGTTATCAAAACACATCAGATGCAATCTGTCATGTCTACTTCACCCATTCTCGTAGACCCTCTTGTTAGATCCGGAATGTCGAAGTCCTCGGACTTCCAGGCACCAAGGTCCGTAGAAGAAAACTGCAGTACTACTAAACTGGTCTTAGAGTTGTCTCCAGGTCATAACAGACGAATGGAACAGCGCGTCTGTCGGACTCTTAAGGAGTCGGAGCAATATCAGCTTGTTCTGCAGGAAACGGTTTGCTTATCAGCTTCGCAGGTGCAAAAAGGTTTTGACGACGTTTCAAAATCTTTGATGGGTTAAAGAGGTGTTGCTTCAGCTGGCTGGTCTGAAACTTTCTCTAGAACTGAGACATCACCCGAGAGTGATTCAGTTTTGATGTTCTCATGCTATGATTTGTGTAGCCAACCAAAGGTTGACAAGTTGAGGAATGGTTACCAAGACAACCTAAGAAACACGCCTTCTTTGATACGGAGGCTCTGACTGGGGTAAAAGACTATTTATGTGTCACGAGTTTCACTTAACCTTACTTGTTCTTGTGTGAGTGCCATATAAACAACATAACATTCATTTCAAACTTTAATCATTGAGCACAGATTAATGAAACATTTCATTATATCATAATTATTATAAGTAGCAATAAACAAATGTTTATTTAATGATTATCTAGCTTATAAGTTGTAGAAGAAGTTCATATTGATTTAAAAAATCATTCTTGGTTTAGCAACTGATCCGAGCTGGAGTGTTCCTTATATGGAGGCATGATGAGTCCTGAAAGATTGGACCTTGAGGAGAGAATGTTATTGTTGACATTTCGTTATCATGTGTTCAGAGCTGCAGAGAGGCTCTGAGCTCCAGCTGATGGGATGAAGGCAGGCCAATTTAAAGGGGACGCATGCAGTCTTGTGTCTCCTTTTTGACCAGATGTTAAATGGTCAAACTGTACCTAAACACTGACCATTGCTGGACGTTACACCTGATATTCAGACATCTCGCCTCTACCACTGATTCTGTTTGCTTTGCATTCTTGTTTTGTTTCCACAACTATCACAAGCCTGGAGGTGTTCTGCTGTGTGGTGGAGTTGCTAATGCTAAAGGTTAGCTTCTAATAGCCAAGATGTTCTCTGCTCTTACCGGGACGCTAACCCAACATTAGCGTCAGGGGCAAAAATCCCTCATCATTGTTGGGGGGGACATTAGACAGTACAAATATCAGGAGTAATTCCGTAGGGGGACATTAAAAAAAGCTTTTTTTTCATGTGCTGATGTGTCTTAAATGTCTCATGTATTATTAAATAATAACTGTTGTTCTTTATTAGTCCAAATAAATAGTCCATATATAGTCCCGACCTGTCTACAAGTTTTTGGATGCTCTACCAATACTAAGAGTAGTAATACTAAGAAAGGATGGTGTCAGTTAGGTGTCCGAGTGCTGCTGCTGGTAGAAGGCTGCTCATCGTGACCGGCTGTGTCCCTGTCCCCTGTGCTGTCATATGATGCTCTTCTTGGTCCATCCACCAGTGACCCTGATTCTGAACAGTCTGCCTCCTAAAATAGACAAGTTGTTTTCCAAACTCAAACCCACAACTACACAAAACACATAATTAGTTGTAATGCTTCGTTAGTTACTTCTTACGCAATGAACCATAAAATGTGAGATTCCATAGGAATATGGAATATCAATCTGATGGATCTTGGGATATTACTTTAACCAGAAGATCGGAACTTTTTATTGCAGGGATTAGATAACACTTCGTATTAACCCAGAGACAAGAGAGAGAGAGGCAAGTTTTAAAGTTTAAGAAGATTTAATTCTAAACAATTTAAACAAGGCTAACTAACTAAACATTCTGTGTGATGAATGGATCTAGGTGTGAATGAGGCAAGATGGATGGTGTAATGTGGAATGTTGTTATCAGAACTCCCGTTTCCGGTGAAGCATTAGTTCTGTGTGGGAGCGAATGTTTTGCTCTAAACTACAGTCGGAGTTTCAAAACCACATTCAGATGCCATATTGCCGCTCTACATACCCTTTGCAGAGACCTCTGTTTTAGATCCAGAATGCCAGGTCCTCGGATCCCCCCTCTTGGTACAGGAGCCAATGAAACGGCGTACGGTACGACAGACTAGTCTTGGGATTGCCTCCAGGTAAGCGACAGGTGGTTGACAGCGTCAGCGGGACCCTGAAGGGTCGGTGAGTTCAGCTTTTACTCTGAAGGAGAGTTGCATTCAGTTGGAGCTTGCAACAGGTTTTATTATCCAGCTTGTCAAGGTTTGTGGTTAAAAATTTACGAGTGGCCGGCTCGAAACTCTAGAACATTTGAACTGAGTTTAGGGTGATGTGGGAGTTAGTTTTATAATTCAGATGTTTGATTTATGGTCGAATCAGATTTTGACAACCAAAAAGGGTTTGTATAAACACCGCATAGACCACGCCACGCCATTACAGTCTTATAATTCAAGTAATTAACATAGTCATTTCATAGATATATTTTTAATTTGGGCTCACATTATTATTGGGACTAACAGACGTTATTTAATTATTTATTAAAAAGAAGAGTAGAGTCCTCTGTCTTGGTCTTGAGCCGGAAAGGAAGTGAAACAGTTTAGAATGAGAGGCATGAGACCTTGAGAGATTAGGTTGTTGAGGGAGACTGTCTCCCCAGCTTGAGCAGAGTGCAGGCATGACCTTTAGGTCAGAAAACAGGTCACTCCATTACGCTACATAGTGGAAGTAGTCTAAAGACTGAATTCTCCTTAATTCGTGACACTAACCAAAATCTCAAACTCACTTGTGGCTCTGTGTCTCTGCTTGACGGGCTCCATCTCTTTGTGTCCAGCTATGTACTTTGTGCCTAATGATACCATTATTAAACATATCCAAAGCATATCATTTATTTATATGGACAATAACAACAAATTGCCTCAATATTATTCAAATCTTTCAACTTACTTGATGTTTTGGTGAAGTGAAAAATGACCTGATGTCTTTCATTTGTCGTTTCTCTGCCATTTCGACCTGACTAGAAGCTAATGGGCTAGCATCTTTCACTTCTTATAACTCAGTGTGTTTTTAAGTAGCACAACTTGCATTGTGCGTTCAACAAAAGTGAATAAATTGTTAAAACAAAAAACATTTAGCGTTTTATGGAGTTTTGGGGGGGGACACATTTATGTCAGAGGGGGACATGTCCCCTCTGTCCCCCCCAGGATTTTCGCCTATGATTAGCCTTCCCTGTTGTGAGCCAAGATGGGTGAGTCCATGAACGCAAATTTTTCCGTGTGATGTAGATCTGACTGGCTTTTCTAATCCGCGAAATTCTGTCTATTTTCGGTTGGCAGCTAACGCAGGAAATAGGGGTAGAAGAATATTTCACCTTCAGCCTACATGTTAGTCAGAGTGCCCAATCGTATTTCAAAATTTACAAGTAAAAAAACTGTTTTCCAGTGGACTCGGCCTTTTAAGCTTGGTTTATGCTTGACGCATTCACTTTCCGCTTGGTGATGCAGCTCGCGGATGGAACGCGCTTCACAACTCGCAGCTTTTATGGTTCATGCAGCTCGTCTCTGCGGTGAGCCAATATTCTCCCAAACTGTAGGGGGCAGCATGGAGCTCTATGGCATGCATCCAACACTACACCATAGTAGAAGTAGAAATTACTGTTGTTTACAACATGGTATTCCAGCATTTTTTAACAGCGTCCTCGTCTTTTCCGACAGTGTGAGCTATTTCTCTCCAAGAATTATTAACAACATGTTGATCACGGTGATCTCTGAGAGCTGAATCATACAAATGTCTGTGTTTACGAACCTCTGCCATACTAGATCTTGCCAGTCCGCCATGTTTTTCCGCGTCCGACCGTCAGCGTGGTTGGAAATTTTCCTAGGTGCGCGTTGCGGAAATTTTGGGCCGTGCGGAGGCGCGGTGGAGGGGCGTGGATGTTAAAATGACGCAATTTCGCCGCGCGGACCTTGCGCACGCGTCAAGCATAAACCAACCTTAACTCATTCACTGCCAGCCGTTTCCTGACCGGTAAAGCCCTTCGCTGCCAGCGTTTTCACAGTTTTTTTAAGTCACAGAACGTTGCGCGCTAGGATGATGTCAATGCCAAAATGAACAAAACAAAGCGGAGACTCACCTCTTACATCAGGAAGAATCTGCGCGTTTCGAGCGTTATCCGTTCTTTCAAAATCCGTTGTTGAATTGTGATCGGCAGAAGCTTTTCCAGTTCGCGCCTCACTTTTTTTTACAGCAGCGGCCCAAAACGATCTCCTAACACATGGATGTTCCGCTTCCTGATCACATGACGTGTGACGAACGCGGGTGAAGATCGGCTTTAGAGCTGAGATGTTTGTTCTCAGAGTGCGGGGGCTCGTCCGATGCCCACACAGTAAAAACATGCTAATGACGACTTTAGTCGTCAGTGGCAGTTAATGAGTTAATGTCCCACAACTCTCGATTTTTAAAATTTTACATTCATCCCTAATTTGAAAAACTCACGTCTGCACAGTTGCGTACAACCCGTTTGAGCCCAAAAGCAAAAAAATAAATAGGTGGTAAAATATCTGCACATTTCTGAAACCCTCCCACGTTGCATCTAAAACAAAGATTTACACAAGAACGTGTTTTTTCAATATTTATTTTGCAAATGAGTCATGAGCACCTGCAAAACATCTTAATGTTGGTCCAGTAGAAAACACCTAAAAAAACACTTTTGTCTTACAGATTTCAGTTCTGTCAGGTGAATTTGGGTCTATATTTATTCTAAATGAGGAAGTGGGTTACTAGTAGCTATTGCTCATGTCTTTGACACCAATGTATAAATATCCAGAAATAGGCCTCTTATGTTCTAAAGAATATTTAAAAAAAATGACTGGCATCAACATCTACATGAGAAAGGGATTAGATGACTATAAAATGTACAGTTTTTAAAAATTTAACTTAATATTCACATTCATATATAAAACTTACAAAACCATGATCTTTTCAATCATCTAAAAATATTTTTGTTACTGCTGAAAGATTATTTTAAATTATCGTACATTTATTGGATTATTTTCATATAATCTGCATCCTTAATGCAATCATTTCAGCCATATTTGTATTATTTTCAATTAATTTTAAAAGTATATAAGTCAATAAATTAACATGCTACTGCAGTACCTGAAAAACAATACTCAGCTGTGTTATAAAAGAGTGTTTTCACATAGAAAAGTGTGTCCACGTCTCTGTGGGGACAACAGAGAGAAACCCCGGACACACAACCGGTCAGCATACCTGCCTCCCACATCGAAGCAGGAAGAGGGGATAGTTTCGAGTCCATACAAAATATAATTCATAGTAAATATAAAATATATTTTTATACATATTTGAATATATTTACAAATATACCCAGCACTATACATATACTGTGTATTCTGTTTCTAGAATGACTGGGGATGTTTCGTTGAGAGAAATGCACCAATATTACAAAATAATCAGGATAAAAGTTTGTTTTTTAATATATTTTCTTCTTCCTATTCCTGTTTTGTTAGTAAAAACTCAGTCTTTCCATCCACTTCCTATTTTTCTCCTTCCTTGTTCTTCTTGTTTGAAGTTCATTTTGGTCCTTACATTCCTCCAGGAGCGAACGTCAGTCTTGGAATGCCAACTGGATCACCAAAGCGAATAACACTTTTCAACGTCTGTGTAAAAAAAGATGAGGAAAAATCTGTGTTTGTGTGTGAGAGAGGAAGAGGAGGAGCATCCTCTTCTGTAAGGCCTCACGTGTCGTGAGAGTGCATGGCAGTGTGAGTGCGCGACAGCAGTGCTGCCTCTAGCCCGGTCTCGTCTGGGTCCGTTAGTCCGATGGGATCCAGAGGGAGAGCGGAGGAAAGAGAAGGTGTCCGTGCTGCACACCTGTTGAGGAGCTCCGGGGTTGGGGAAGGTCAAAGCAACACAACGGAGGATGGGTGACAGCTCATCTTTTGACATTCCCGTTAATGTGCTGGTACTTGGGGAGGCAGGGCTCGTCTGGTAAGGGGTCGTGGGAAAACACAGAGTCATCACCGGAGGAGCAGGAACTCCGGGTGTCAGGGAAGCTGGGGGAATACTGTTCCGTCGGGGCGCACAGGTCCAGATACTCCTGTGGGTGTGAGATGGAAGAGAGAGAGAGTTAGACTAAAGTGGAAGGGTGCTTCAAATGAAGAGAGTGGCAGAAGACTAGAAATGGAGAGCTGAAGCCAGTCAGCAAGACCGGGACTTTCCAGAGGAGGGTGGGTGAGGACAGTATCACCTTTATTATGTTTATCTAAACCGTACACCATCCCCGTGGGAAGGTTTATAAAACAGAACAGAGAAATAATCTCCAACTGGAAACTTGTATAAAAACATCAGCAGGAATAAAAGTTCATCAATTGAACGCTGGACTCCGGGCTCATCCAGGGAGGGGGGTTTGACCCGGCCACTGTGCAGTTTGGTTTAAGAAGAAAAGAAAAGATGACACGATGATGGAGAGACACTGGCTTTTACAGCATCTTCTCCATAAGTTCAGTCAAAGCAGATCCAAACTCTGGCATCAAAACGCCACGATAAACAATAAGAGACGGTTTGGAGGGGAATCAAGAAGCTGGCCCAACACGGCTAACCGCCATGAGAGGGGAGATGAAAACCTCAAGAAATCCTGTTATTAAATTTTGACTCAGTCCGGTCTTGTGTCTGCTGAGGCCCCCTTTTTTCCTCTCCTCGGCTTTCATGGCTGTTAGTGGGACTAGTTGTGTAAGAGGAAGCGTTCTTGGGGTTTTGGGGAAAAAAATGGAGAGCTGGCTTCCATTTTCCCAGCTCGACACGAGAAGGCTCATATTACTACAGATCTCCACATCTGCCAGCGGTTTAGGGTAGAAGTAAGGGAGGGGGGAGAAAAATGCAAGAAAAAGGCTCTTTATTACATTTCAAAAGTTCAAACTCAAAGTTGGGCCTTTTTTTTAATTCTTTGACTAAATTCATGAAGGACCAGCTCCAGAGCCAACAAGTCCTGACAGCTTTCCATTTTAGAGATCAGTGCATGGATATCACACAAGACGGAGAGTGGGAATGGAAAAGGCATGGGCCGTTATATGGAGCATTGTAAAGATGTGATGATTGGGCCGCAGAAGCTGAGCTGAGCCAGGACCAGAGCCATTATTAGGCCGTTTAACATTTCTGACAATATTCAGCTGAACCCTGCATGCTCTTACAAGACTGCTATTGTTTGCTGTTTTACGGCTATGAAATAGCAGACATTCCCGAATGCAAGACAGATATAATGAGGCATGAATCCTGACCACCCCAAAGAAAGGAGCTGAAGATAACGACTACGTAGGAAAAGTGCGAGGAAAAAGGACTCATCTCACCTCGTTGGTGCTCAAGGTGAGTATTCGGTCCAAGTCTTCTACTAGCTGCTTGAAGGTTGGCCTCTGAGATGAGATGGCATGCCAGCAGTCTTTCATCATCATGTAGCTAAGAGAGGAAAAAATTCAAACTTTTATTTATAAAAGAAGACGGAGAGGGAAAGATTTCCGTCATTTTAGTTGTTTTATTTAAAACTGGTGTCTTATTGAAGACTAAATAATTTTCTAAGCTTTCATCTATAAATCTCAGTGGTAGTTTTAGGACCTCGTGGTGTGACCTGTAAGCCATGACAAATTTTCTATCTTTTTATGTGGAAAGAAGTGTAAAAACCCAAAAGAGTTGCTGGCTCATTAGGGTCACCATGACAACCATACATTTGTGACACAGGCACAAACGCACATTTATAGAAGACCACAAGTGCATTGCTCGAAATCATCGGAGCCTCAAACACCTAGTTGCTGGGTTAAAAAAAAAAAACTACAACCATGAGCAGCAGAAGGTCCTGATTAGGGGTGTAACGGTATCCTAATATCGTATTCGGTTCTGTTCAGTGTTTTGAAGAGCTCGGTTCGATTAATCTTCAGTATAATATTATTATTATGTTTATTTATTTAATAACATCTGAAGCGGCTCCTATAGTGAGCAGAAGCAGGTGTCATCAGAGGCTGCTGATCTGGCATGACGTCTAATTATTTCACAGGTTATTTGTGCAGCTATGAGTGTCACGCTCATACAGACACGTGTTGTGTTTGAATGTTGATGCTCTGTTTTTATTTCTGCAGCGAGCCTTAAAACCTCCCGTCACACCACCCTGCGTTTCATCTTGAAAACTTGGATTAAATAACGAGCTTCCTCCGCGCCATATTTTTCGTTGTAGGATAAAAACTTCACATCAGTTGTCCCGGGGGGAAAGTTCAGCAGACATGTTTGTTTACATTTTTGCTGCTGCGTGCCTGCACGGCGTGAGAGAAGGGAGGGAGGGGTGAGGCGACGCTCCGTTCAGCGTCTCTACGGACTCCGGTAGCAGCGACAGCCAGCTGGTTTGATCCGGTTTGAAAGGCGTTGATCAGAATTTGCAGATCACTTTTTTTTTAAAACGGAGATCGGGCGCGTGCAGCGTCCGTGCTGAAACTCGCCTAGGAACTTTTATTCACTGCCCTTAAATCACGCAAATAAAATTATTTAATGATCAAAAAAATAAACCGAAATGGTGCGCGAGTGGACCGCACCTTAATGGTTCAACACTCCCCCGTGAACCGTTACAGCCCCTAGTCCTGATGGTTACATATTAGGGCTGGGCAATAAATCGAATAGTTTTCGTTATCAAATATGTCTGACTCATCAAGATAATGTTTCCCGTGTCAGTAAATTTGATAATAAAAACTGTAAAGATGTGTGTAGGTTGGCAATTTCATGTCCCTTTTAGAAGCTGTACCACCTTGAGTCACATAAAAATGTGACTCAACGTGATAAATGTGACAGCCCCATCTAGTGGACAACTTTTGTTTCTGCGCACACCTGTAGTTATCGTCCATTTATCGTTATCGAGGTGAAATCCTGAATATATCGTGATACAGATTTTAGGCCATATCGCCCAGCCCTATTACATATTTAAAATGTTTGCGCATGTTCAGTGTTTTAAGTCTAAGAAATGTTATTTAAAGACGTGCCGTTCACTTCTAGATGTGAAGAGCTTTGATATAAAAGAGAGAAGCCACACGATACCTTCCTGGAGGAGGCTAGTGGCTGGCACACTGCAGCCAATCACTAAACATTCTCCTTCTCCTGATACTAGCTTTTTACTTTTTTAATAAAGAAAGTGCTACTACTAGTTCCTCAGTTTTGTGTGTGTGTGTGTGTGCGTGCGTGTGTCTGCTCTTTGTTCTCAAACCCGCAGTCGGCCGTGGCAGGTGCCTGCTCACACTGATCCAGGTTCTGTTGGAGGTTTCGTCCTGTTAAAGGCGAGTTTTCTTCTCCACTGTCTCTACATGCTTGCTTAGTGTGGGGTGGCTGTAAGTCTCTGACACAACAAGTCAGTGACTCGATGCAAGCTGCTGGGCTTTCTTAGCTGGGAAATCTTTAACTAATTGAAGATGAGTTGGTTGAACTGGAATGTTTACTTTGTAAAGTGCCTTGGGACTTTACAAGACTTTATTCTTGTTGTGAATGGTAAATGGTGACGGGACTGTATTTGATACAGTACCTTCTAGGGTTCTACAACCCCCCAGTCATTCACCCATTCACACACTGGTGAAGATGAGCTAGAATGTAGCCACAGCTGCCCTGGGGCGCATTGACACAAGCGAGGCTGCCGTACACTGGCGCCGCCAGTCCCGCCGACCACCACCAGCAGGCTAGGCGTTTTTTTTTTCCGGCTCTTGGAGAGTACAGACGCTTTTTTCTCCCCCTGTTTGGCCTGAGCGGTTACCTGGCTTACCGGAAAATCAACGAGTTTTCGAGGAATATTGGCTCAATCCCAGACCTCAGAGATGGAATGCATTGTGCTGTAAACTCACAAACTCATATAATTGTCGAGATGAGTCGTAAGCTTGGAACTTTGGCCGAGATTCAGGCTCTGGCACAGAAGGTGGATACCAACAAGGAGCGAGTGGACGCATCAACACAAATTGGGATGGTTTATTTACGCCATTATTGGATCTAGAGTGGTTGAAGACCAACAGAACTCTAAGGCAGAGAGGAAATTATCTGTCTATCCCCAAAACAATTCTTATCTGAATCTGGTGCCCTTGGAGCCTGTGAGGCTGATGTGTAAACTCCCCCCTCAGAAGGAATGTGGAATGTTGCCGTTGCTATGGAAATTCTTTCTCCCTATCCCAGCCTGGGCGGGACTGTGACCGGTGAAGGCCGTGGAACCGTATCTAGTAGTCACTGTGCTCTCTAACCCATTATCTCCCTCCCCTGTCCAAACGAAGGTGATGAGCGCTGCTCCATGCGGCTGCATGCACTGAAGTGAGGAGAGTCCCAACCCTACCTCCCCACCTAGTGGACACTTATGTTGTGTAATGTCTGAAGTCTGTGTGCATATCTGTCTGAGGTGTTTTTTTCATAGCAAAGCTGCCCTCCCTGTAGAGGGTAACTCTGAAGTGCCTTTTTTTTCCCCTCCCCCTGACTCTATCCTCATATAAACCCGGTAGCGCGACTCGTGTTGCGAATGACCACAGTCACCAATCCTTGTCATGTGTGTATGTATGTATGTATGTATGTATGTATGTTAGTGTATGTATGTATGTTAGTGTATGTATGTATGTATGTATGTTAGTGTATGTATGTATGTTAGTGTATGTATGTATGTATGTATGTATGTATGTATGTATGTATGTTAGTGTATGTATGTATGTATGTATGTATGTATGTATGTATGTATGTATGTTAGTGTATGTATGTATGTTAGTGTATGTATGTATGTATGTATGTATGTATGTATGTATGTATGTTAGTGTATGTATGTATGTTAGTGTATGTATGTATGTATGTATGTTAGTGTATGTATGTATGTTAGTGTATGTATGTTAGTGTATGTATGTATGTATGTATGTATGTATGTTAGTGTATGTATGTATGTATGTATGTATGTATGTATGTTAGTGTATGTATGTATGTTAGTGTATGTATGTATGTATGTATGTATGTTAGTGTATGTATGTATGTATGTATGTATGTATGTTAGTGTATGTATGTATGTTAGTGTATGTATGTATGTTAGTGTATGTATGTATGTTAGTGTAGTATGTATGTTAGTGTATGTATGTATGTTAGTGTATGTATGTATGTATGTTAGTGTATGTATGTATGTATGTTAGTGTATGTATGTATGTTAGTGTATGTATGTATGTATGTTAGTGTATGTATGTATGTATGTTAGTGTATGTATGTATGTATGTATGTATGTATGTATGTATGTTAGTGTATGTATGTATGTTAGTGTATGTATGTATGTATGTATGTTAGTGTATGTATGTATGTATGTATGTATGTATGTATGTATGTATGTTTGTATGTATGTATGTATGTATGTATGTATGTATGTATGTATGTATGTATGTATGTATGTATGTTTGTATGTATGTATGTATGTATGATCTCAGAATTGTGTGTACTGAAACTCTAATTTCCTTCTGGGATAACTGAAGTATTTTTGAATTGAATTGAATTGAATCAAGTGTCTTGCCCAAGGACACAACAGCTGCAAAAGATGGGGCTTGAACCTGCAACCCTCCAGTTATGGAGCAGGCACTTTACTCCTCTGCCCCCGGCGCCTCGTTATAGTGGTGAATTGGTGCTTTAAAAATTTACTGAACTGAGTTTAAATATCGCTATGCAAGCTGAAAGGTGCACACCATGTACACTGGAGGTATTTAAAAGAAAACAGTAATTGCTGCAACCGAAAATTGTTTCACACCATTACCATTGTTTTTTTTTTTCTAATCTTCAATAAAGCAAATTTGTGATGGGAATAGAAATTTACTGGCTGATAAGAGCATGATGGTGCATATGTTATTTTAAATCCTTTATAAAGGACAGTGCTGTGTCATTGACCTCTGGCTGCAAAACGCTCCCATTCTGAATGAGGACACAGGACAGTCGAAAAACGACACGGGGTGTCAGAGTCGTAGATAGAACAGAAAATAGGCCTTGGTCAATGCATCAGTTGGGAATGCTTTAGAAAAAATTAAACTTACAGCTCGTTCGTGCAGTTGCCGGGCTTGTCCATGCGATGGCCCTCCTTTAGCAACTTGAAGAGCTCTTCAACAGGAATGCCAGGGTAGGGTGAGCCCCCTAAGGTGAAGATCTCCCACATTAGCACCCCAAATGACCAGCTGGTGACGACAAAAATAAAATACAAACATGTTAAAAACACATGAAAGTCATCTCAGACCATTTATGTTGGAGCCATTTACGTATGAAAAGGAACTGGAGGAATTAAAGCAAACATCAGTGGTGTCAATGCCCACTTTCTCTCATCCAGTGACTTGTGGTGCTTAGCCGTTGCCAGTGTTACTCCGGCCCTGCTCTCAATGATGGCTTTTGTGGCCGGCTGGCTGGCCACAGAGACTGGTATTGTCTGATCAGACCAAAACAAAGCAAACACTGGACCACCCACAGCAAAAGAGATGGGGACAGTGACCATTGATTATAAACTGCTTCCTGGCCTTGATATCCGGCTGAGGCGGTAAGCTAAAAACCAGATTCCTGCGTCTCACATGTTATTTTTGCAGTGTCAGCTTCCTAGTACTCACACGCTGCCGTTTTTCCAACTGACACATTTACAAAGTGCAGTCGTAGCGGTCTAATGACGTGAATGTTGGCCTCTTTTTCATCTGTTTACACAGCCAGCTGGCCAGGTTTGTTCTCTCCTATCGCTGTGTTGGATCTCGAGCCTTGTTGACACACTTGTCTCTCCTTTCTGTGTCATCTTTCAGCTCGTCCGTCTGTTTGGCTGTGCACGTTGACTTCCAACCAGTCGTGACTTGGAAAACAAACTTTTGGAGGTCTCCTTAACTGATTTGACAGTCGAACTTAATGAAGTGAATTTTGATGCAGCTTCTGCCTGAAGCTCTAACAATTCCAGCTGCCTGTGTTTTGATTTATAGGTTGTGTGAAATGAACCAAGAACTTAATAAATGTTAAAACTGCTGCCAGTGGCTCATTAGCGTCACCACGAAAGCCTGTTTGTTTTTTTTACTAGTTGACAACAAACTTAATGAGAGGCAGTCAGAAACACAAAGATGAACGTTTATGTTTCTTGTGTTTTTTAAAAGATAAGTCAAGTTAAAAAGACACGTTACGCCCAAATGTAAAGACAATGGTTTTAACTAAAAGCTAACTGAGGCCTATGGAGGCTAGGGTGTGCACACGGCACTCTGAGGGTTTATGAGAGAAAACAACCACTAACAGAAAAGAGAAAAATGCCCATTTTTGTTTGTCATTTTCTTTAGTTCTTCGCTGTACACACTGTGACGAGGGTTTGATTTTAACTTTGCCAACATGTTTCTACGTCACTGCCGTCTTTGTCAGGTTAACCAGTGGATGTTGGTGGCGTCACTTCCTTTTATCCACGGGCAGCAGAGGATGTTGTCGCCCTCTGCTGCCCGCTCTCCCCTCCCCGATGATGCAGTCCCATGCACGATCCAATGTGTAGACCCCATCGTTTCTGTTCATGGTCCCACATCCACGTCTCCTTATCTCTGTGGCTTCCTTTATCCATCTTTTGTGTTTCTGTTGTTCGGACCACGTTGTGGACTGGGATAACACACGGATCATAAACACAGAACAACAAAAGGTTAAATGATGGATCAAAGAAGCAGTTGAAATAAGGAGGCGTGGCCCCAGGACCATGAACAGGGACGAAGGACCATTCATGGGACACTGATCAGCAGAGAGGGCTACAAGGGATAAAAGGAAATGACGCCACCAACATCCGCCTGTTACCCTGACGAAGACGGCAGTGACGTAGAAACATGTCGACAAAGGAAAAAACAAACCCTCATCACAGTGTGTACAACGAAGAACTAAAAACGAAATCAGAAAACAAACGCGGCACAAACTTAAAGATGCTTATTTGTTTATGTTCTAAAATAAAGTTTTTGGGGAAGAAACAAAGTTATGTGTGACATAATGAATGGTAAGTTTAATAAAAATAATAAAAAATCAACTATTAATGTGGAAAAAATTAAATCAAAGGTACCACTCGTCTAAACGTCTGTTCGCTCATGTAAAGTTTTACTTTCTGACCTTAAGACCAGGGTGAGGCTTCAGATCTCCCAAAAAGGGGCGGAGTTTTCTCCCTTATTTCACCAAAATCTTAATCTTATCAAATATCTCAGTGTTTTACTAATTTAGCTCATGTCACAGGTAATACCAAAACCCATAGCATGGTTGTTTTAATTATTTATTACATTTTGTGGGATAAAAACAAACCAAAAAATTTGACTAATTTCAAAAAGGGAAGTTGTAAAGCAGCCATCCCTTGCAGGATTTACTGACGAGTGACTAATAGCATCAAGAATGTCACAGAAAACCTTTTATCTGATGCAAACGTGAAGATAAAAGGATTTCAATCATGCTGTAAGAGCTAAAGAAACTCTTGGCCATGATGCTACTTTACTCCTTCCTACACCAACCCCACCCCCAAGCAAAATCCTCCAGGCTAATTCTGTTAAAACCCCACATTCCATTGGAATTCATGTATTCATTTAATCTGATGTCATGTATAGATCGCCTAGGACAAACTCCACTCCACCTCCCCGTGACACACAAAAAGCCAATTACTGAAAGTGAGTGACGATCGCAATTAGCTGTAAGCTGCTACAAGAGTGCAGCAGCCATTTCAAGCCCACACACACACACACACTCTCTTGTTACTGACTGACACTGTGGTATGAAATAGGTGTGTACACATATTATTTATGTGCACCAACGCAAAGACGTGGACAGAAATAGCTGCTTTATTCAGATGTTTAGCATATTTTTGGCGCGTCACACAAACAGGCATTTAAAAACTCCCCTTCCCCTCAACAATTAGCATGCTAGGCATTTGTCATGCATACATACACATACACTTTCTGCTGCCAAGGTCTGGAGCAGAAACTTCAAACAATGCTGTCAGAACCCATAAAACTCCAACCCAAAAAGAAAGGGATGCTCTTCCTTTGTTCTGTTTTTAGAATGAGTTCTCTTGATCTTAAAAAAATGTGTGTGAGGAGGGACAAAGATGGGTCAACGATTCACACGCCAGATGAAAGAAAATAAAAAAGCAGAAACGAAGAAAGGCGGGGGTTGATTTTGACTATGGATCTGGTCCAAAATGGTGTTTGAGCTGTTGCTGAGTGAAGGGACGGAGTTTAGCAGTGGGACACAGCATTGTTGCGTTCAGTGGTCCAAAAAGGTGGGGAGATTTCCGAGCTGGGGGGGTGAATCAGAGAAGGAGGAGGTGCTGGAGGAGCCCTTTGATGCTGATCAGATTAGTAACACAACATTGGCTCCAAGTGTAGCGTAAAATCTGGCCAGCACTACCCCACCCATCTCTCCAAAACAAGCCCCTAAATGTGACCTCAGGATGAAACAACTTATTTGTGCAACTCAAAAAGATTTTCTTGAGTACTTACACATCACTCTGGTGTGTGTAAACCCGGTCAAAAAGTGCCTCTGGAGCCATCCATTTGACTGGTAGACGACCCTGAAAACACACGCACACACACACACAGGAGTGAAATAAAGTCAAATGAAAAAAGACCCCTGAACTCTCCTGGTGTCCTTAGCATGTTTGAGATCTGCTGCAGCGTCTTCTGGAAAGGCCGATATGTGACAGGAGCTTTGGGGGAAGGGCACTGGAGGAGTCTGGATGGTGGACTCTCGAGTTTACTCCAGCGAGGTGGTAAACAGGGTCAGAGATGAAGAAGAGGGGTTATCTCAGCGAGGCATTAAAACGGGCCAAGAAGCAAAGCATGCTGGACAAGGTCAAAGTGTGGTGGCTTAACAGCACAAATGAGGCATTATTAGACGGTCTAATTCACTTGTTTTATCACAATCTGCTGTGGCATCTAGTCTGAATTAATGTCTTCCCTGCTCCTGAAACAGCAAGATTATGAGTCCAACTCATTAATATTCATGATATGCAAATTTTCTTCCTATTTCCTTCCCGTTGCTAATGAAGACGATGGGGTTTGAAGGAAATTTTCACGTTCAGCATGCATATTACTCAGAGTGAACAATCGTATTTAAAAGATAACAAGTTTTACATGAACAAGACCTTTAAATCAAGGTTTAGATTCTGCAGCAAGATCATAGAATCGTCTGCAGAGTGAATTCTGTCAGAAGGACTGAGAACAGCACCGTTATTACCAGGACTACTTTGGATGTGACACACTCAGAGCTTGTTTACTTCCTGTGTGCAGTCGGGATGGAAAGTAAGTTACGCAACCGACTTGTTGTTCTGCCAGGTATCGCTCTTCCTGTTGAAGGGGAGTTTTCCTCTCCACTGTCGCTACATGCTTGTTTAGGATGGGGATTGCTGTAAAGTCTCCGACACAACAAGTCAGTGACTCGATGCAATCTGCTGGGTTTCCTTACCTAGAAAACTGAATTTAAATAATGAGCCGGACCCAATGCACTGATAAGTAGATTCAGTTTTTACTTGAGACGACTCTTGCTGTGACTTGGGACTGTACAAATAAACCAAATTGAACTGGATAGTGTTGCTTCATAGTGATCTGGTGATTTACTTATACTGAGCCAGGATTCTCTGGAGGTTTCTTCCTGTTAAAAGGGAGTTTTCCTCTCCACTGTCGCTTTATGCTTGCTTGGTATGAGGATTGCTGTATTGCAATTTGCTGGGTTCCTTAAATAGGAAACATTATTTCTGATTGGCTTAATGAACTGACCTGAATTGGAATTTTTATTATGTGAAGTGCCTTGAGACGACTCTTGTCGTGATTTGGCGCTTTATAAATAAACTTGAATTGAATTGAATTGAATTTACTGGCTGTGGCGATCGTTAGCATCACTAGGACCTGTTAGCATAGGGCTAACTTTGCTGTTGTGTTGTATTATCTGTTGCATACTTTTCTTATTTTAAGGCTGTTTCTATGCAGATAATGTTGCTGCGTTTCTCAGTAACAATAATAAACGTGTGCTTTACTTATGCAACGAGATGATTAAGACGAGTTATTAAATGGAAAATAAATATAGTGACATTTGATGTAATGACAGTGGGCTAGCAGGTCCATGTGAATTATTAAGACTTCTCACTCATCGTGGGGTTTGTGTGAGAATATAAAACAGGCTACAAGAAATGAAGCATCGGATTGAATTGGAAGACCATGACACAAAATTGATTAAAAGCCCACCAGGACAACGATGGCTCAGCCTGTGAGTGATCGTCGTAGTAACTTATTTGAATCTCCCGTCATCATTTGGGAATACTGTTGGGAATGTCTGCTAGTTCTCAGCGGGCTTGTGCATGCAACGAAAAGGCAGTCATGCATATTAAATGAGGATGTGCCGACAGCGATGCTCTGCTGTGGGAAAGAAGGACACCACCGGACCACTGTGGACATGTCGCTTGTGCTTAGCCCGTTCCCCTCCATCTCTCTCTCTTTTTCCTGTTAATTGTACAAATGCCAATGAGACCAAAAAGAACAAGAAACCAAGGGGGTAAACAAGACAGAGTCTCCAGCAGGACTACATTCACATCTTGCCTGGGAACGTGTAGATTCTGCCAAGACACCAGCAGAGGGGAAAAGAGCGAAGCAGAAAGATGACAGAAGATAGAAACAAAGCAAAACTAAACTGGTTTTTTTTTAATAAAATACTCCCTTCCCCGAAACTACCCACCCTTCAGAATGTAACACGCATGTCGAGGACTTACATTGGTGGTCTTTTTATAGTAGTCGATGTTGTGGACGTCCCTAGCCAGGCCGAAGTCGGCGATCTTCATGACGTTGCTTTCTGTAACCAGGACGTTCCTGGCTGCCAGGTCTCTGTGTATGCACTGAGAGGGAGGAGGGAGAAGTAAGGTGGTGGGAGGTCAAAGAGTGGAAAAAGCGAAGACAGGAGGGGGACGGTCCCTGAATTAATTCTGAAACAGGTGGACACCTTATTTGGAAAGGTGATTAAATAGGAGCAGCACATGGAATCATCCAGATATCTGCTGCATGGAGAGATGGATCTGCAACCTTTATGACTGAAGATGTTATTGTCTTTGTAGATTTAGAGCAAATCACTGAGGGTTAGGGTTAGCTAAAATAACTTTACTCTGGTTTCAAGGCAACTTCGGAGTGGTTGAAGGGCCACACATGGCTCTAGAGCCGCAGCTTGCAGACCACTGGACTAGACACGCTGACTCTGTATAAACTATGGCTGGGTGTATTAGCATGTATAAACCAAGCATGTGTGTGTGCGTGCAAGGCCAGTCACATTCCAACAGTGAGGAAGACCGTGAGGGCTAACATGGCTGTACCCCCACTGTGAAAACTTCCCAATTTTTCTACACAGAGGGGCTTTGTGGTGGATTGAGAGACAATGCCGGGATCAGGCAGGGGGTGCGGGACTGTTTTGAGGAGAAATCTGTTCCCACAGTGACACACAAACAAGCTCCCTACAAAGGAAAACCTTCCTGGAAACAGATATTTTGGTCAGAGAGAAATACCTAAGCAGTCTGAATCCACTGCTCACCTTCTGTGATGCTAGGTACTCCATGCCCCGTGCCACCTGATACGTGCAGGAGACGAGATCTTTGAAGGTGAGCTGCTCGTCGGAGACGCGGGCGATGTCGTAGGAGTATTCCATGCCGGGTGGCCGGCGCGCTCTGAGGTATTCCCTTAAGTTTCCTTTGGAGGCATATTCAACTATCACATATAGAGGACCTGCAAAGGTGATAGCATAGGTGTCAATAAAGTTCTACGTAGCATCCTAGAATTCCCCAAAGCATTCGCCGTCTGCCTTTCACATCAAAGCTAAGATTGTCTGTTGATAAAATTATGGTTTGGATTATATCTTGTTTCAATAATTTCGGTGTAAGAAATAAGCCTACACAAGACTTGGCGGACGTTCAACTGGGCCAGAGCGAACAGAAGTTTCAAGGACTACCATAACATACATGACCTGAATGTTTAATGAGAGCCAGTTGTACGGTTCTAGACGAACTTCTACGTTTAAACCAGAGGTTTCCAAATTCGGAAATTCCACTGAGGGTCATGAAAACCCAAAGTTATGGTTCTGAGACAATTTCCAGAAATCAAATCTAAATGTTGTGCCTTATAGAATATTTAGGCTTATTTGTGTGAGTTAAATAATAAGATAAATGAACTTAAATAGTACAACTGATTTATACTCTTTCTAGCGATGTTTACGTAGTTCAACCAACAACACTAGAGGTCCTAAAGGTCAACTGTATTCATGTCTTTAATACATTTGTAGAGGTCTCCAGTAGGAATGAACGCCTTGTAAGTTTGTACTCTGGGGGGGAAAACAAGCTCTGGCGCGTCTTTTTCAGGAAGTAGAAGTGACCCAGATCCCAGTTGAGCTGAACACGACAGGATTTGGAGTCTTATTTCCTGATATTTGGACATCTTTTGTCTGATTGGCTACCATAAACACACGACTACCACTGACTGTTTGCTCTGCAATGCTGATGTTTTGCCTCCACAAATAACTCAATCCTGGAGGAGTTCTGCTGCATGGTGGAGTTGCTAGCAGTTAGCTTCTACTAGTCGAGAGTGGAGTTGCTAGCAGTTAGCTTCTACTAGTCGAGAGTAGAGTTGCTAGCAGTTAGCTTCTACTAGCCGAGAGTGGAGTTGCTTAGCAGTTAGCTTCTACTAGTCGAGAGTGGAGCTGCTAGCAGTTAGCTTCTACTAGTCGAGAGTGGAGTTGCTAGCAGTTAGCTTCTACTAGCCGAGACGTTCTCAGCTGTTTCCTGCATGCTAAACCAACAACAGCCTTCCCCGTCGTGAGTCAAGATGGGCGAGTCCATGAATGCTAAGTGACAGTGTGACGTAGATCTGTCAGGCTTTTCTAATCCTAGAGTTTCACCGTCTGTTTTCCATCAGAAGCTTGTGCAGGGGATAGGTGTAGGGGACTATTTTCATGTTCAGCCTGCATGAAAAACTCAGAGTGACCCGTTAAAATCGGAAATATTAATTTAAAAAAAACATTTTTCAGCGAAATCGGCTCATTTGTGATCTTGTTCAAAAGATCTTTGGGCTTACTCTAGCCCAAGTTTGAGCTGATCATAGTCTCACTGTTTTAAAGACACAAACAGATGAATGCATTTAGCTGTTGTCAAATGTGAATTTCTGCAGAACGATGCAGCTAATTTCACACTCATTCCTGCCCTTTTGATGACGTTCTGCAGATATGACCTTGACTAGAAAGTTTCAAAGCCAGGAAAATGTTGTTGGTGCAGGATTGAAACCAATATGATTGTTTATAAAGCAACTGGAGTGGAAAAAGGTTGTATTTTTTCTTTAGGATTCAGCAAAACTCACCGTCCTGAGTGCAGGCTCCCAAAAGGTTGATGATGTTCTTGTGTTTGCCAATCATCTTCATCATTTCCATCTCCGACACCAGGTCGGACAGGTCTTTCTCAGTAGCGTCATCTAACGACAGAAGAGTTAGTTTTGTTAGGAGGAGACCCCACCTCAGCCGTGTCGAATACTCATTGTCTTTGAGTCCAGACAACGAGGCAGCCAAGTTCAGCAGCACCTGATTTTGTAGGCGCTCCAGATTAAGCAAGGCTGACAGACAATGCGGGTTAAAGTTACCGAGCAAAAGGGAAGCTCCTCTCTTACCCTATCGGTGTCACGGTGACAGAGAAACTGAAATTAAAGATATTCAATCTAGATTAATTATCCATGACACAAGCTCCTTTTGTCGTGGGACCGCTCGAGACAGCCGAAGATGGCATTGCTTACATTCCGCTGCACTACAACCGTAGCTGAATAGCAGATTTCTGTTGTGGAGGAGCATCCTTCGGCTCAACCCGATCCTGCTGTGCCCCGCAATCCCAAACCAATCCAGTGTTCTCTCTTTCTGCTTTCATTCCTCACAGCGGTGTAGCCTCTTTGTTTGGGTGCTGGCTGCGCTCTAACCAGCTGCTGCTCTAGGGTCAGGTATGTGACCGTTTCTAACCCTCACCTACCCGACCCACCTTCCTCAAGCCATCACTCAGCAAGCGCAAATAACGAATAACAAAGACAGCCCCGGGCTCCACTTTGCACCTTTTCTGAACCCTCGCTGCAGAATAAATCACCACTAAAAGTTCTTAGTTGAGACGAGACAGAATGAGGCAGTGTGTCTGAAGGCGATGCGAGCCAGACGTCGATGGCACAGCAACAGGAGAGCCACTCACCTTTCAGCATTTTGACGGCAACAGTGACCGCCTCCTTAGGTTTGTCCTTATCGATGCCCAGGGCCTCTGCCATTACAACTTGGCCGAAGCAGCCTTCTCCCAGAGGTTTTCCCAGAGTCAACCTGCAGGAACAGGAAAGTGTTCAGCAACTGGAACTTGAGCTTCTGCATTGACTCACCGCTCTGTGCAGACATAAACAAGTTAGATGGCGTGTGAGAGCAACAGAGTTAATGAAACCAGGCTCTGAGCCAGGTTTTTAGTCTTTTTTTTAATTTTCTTACCACATCGCTCTCTCATTGCCGTCGTATTTTGTCTGTGTGCTTTATTGGCTCGGCGACTGCGGTCTGCGCCAGAGCAGTAGGTACAAACCCCAGACATGGCGAAGATAATCACTTGATAGAGCCGGGGAGAGCCACTTACTTCTAAACTGTTTACTCTGGCTTGGCATGTTCTAGTATACAGTCATTATACAGGACTTAGCTTAGCGCTGAAACATTAGCCTGAGAAAGAGAACCTTTGCTTTGTTTTACCAAAACGACTCACACAACTGTAGCAACGGTGGAAAACCTAACGTATATTAAGCCTGATTTATGCTTCTCCGTCTGCGTCAGTGCGGAGACACGCAACGCCATTATCTGTCCTTGCGTAGGGCACGCAAGTACGTACGGAGTCGAGCCCACTTTTTTAAACATCCGTCGAACGAGACGGATTACGCAAGCTTCTGATTGGTCAGGACGCCGCTGTTGTTTACAGCGCCGCCATTGCAAAGAGAGCCGAGGATAACTAGCGGCAGACACGGAGAAGCTTGAAGAATACCTCGCGAAAAAACTCTAAAAATATGAACGTTTAATTCCCCCGTGACTGGAGGAGTGAAAAGATGCGCAGCAAGCGTTTTATTTGTGGACGGAAATGACAGGAAACGTGGGTTTAGAGGTGGGGAGCGCATGAAGCGGTGGGAGAATGAGAGACAAATATGTCCGTGTTAAAAGTCTCTTATATACACAAAAAACACAATACAAACACACGATCTTGGACCGATACATGACAGGATACCACAGAACAGCGCTACGCCTTCTGTTGTCCTGCCGGGGAATTGCTTTGCTACACTCTCCAGGAGACGGAGAAGTATGAGAGCAAAACGCTTCCGTCAATCCGTGCGTGTCTGTCCGTTGCGGAGCTGACGGAGAAGCATGAACCAGGCTTAACAGCCGTTAGCTCATCAGAAACACCATTTCTCCAAACTGAGGTTGTTCTAGAAGCTATTTATAATGGGTAAAATAGTGAATATTCATTTTGCACTGAAAAATTTTCAAAAACAGACAAACAATTTCTTTCTGTTAATAATGTTTTCTAGTACAGTCGACATGTCGTGATCTATCTTTGCTTACACCCTCACATTTTTAGACAAATATTTCTAAGTCAACGCTTTACATTCACTCATCTGTCAGTGATATTATGGACGTATTAAAAAAGCATGTGGATTATGACCACAAGAGTTGTTACGAGATACCTACGAAGTAATGGACAACTTTATAGAAGAACAATAAACGTGTTTTTTGTGAATCCGAATACAGAAGAAAAAAAGAGAATCGGACAATAACAAAACTTTCAGAAAACCGTAAGACATCAAAGATTTATTCTTTCAGGTTTGTTAGTGCACGCGGCATTCCCAGAGCATCCAGGTATCGAGTCCAGCAAGAAATATTTCTGCCACAACAACTGTGTAATGTGACATGATGGGCATGTAAAAGTTTATAAATATCGTGAAACTAAAGCGTTTCCACCAATCCTGAAAGACGTAAACTCAGGAAGCTAAATATTTATGACGTTTACACAAACACACACTTCAGAAGTAGCAGGCCATGTCTGCGCCTCGTCCAACAACCTGCCGTGTGCCCTGATTTTCTTTTGATTGATATCTGTTGGTTCCAGCCCTAAGCCCACTGTCCCAGCTATGTAAACACTCGTTGCACAACACAAAGCCATGGGGCCTGAGGCCGGCGCCCTTCTGCAGTAACACAATCCCCTGTCTGTCCGCACACACTTGCCAAACTGAATGGCAACCATTCTGTTCACCCAGCCACGCATAATCAATGTTATTTCTCTCCTCTGCGCAAACGGCAAAAGTTAGCATACTTCTGCTGTTCTGCAACCCCAACGTGATCCCTCAGGCGCTGGGATGACAGGCAGAGAACAAAGACCCAAACGGAGCGGGACAGCTAAACCAAACATCCCCTTCGGTTAGTTCATCTATTAAAATCATAAGTTGGACTAAAATGCAGTCCACATTATTGCATCAAGTGTTTTTTGTTTTTTTTTTTATCACTGAAGCATGAAATAAAATGTGCCATCTTTTTGCTCCGGAGGCAAAAATCTAACTTTTTGGAAGCCTTCATTGGTTTTTACCACTTTGACCTTTAGCCATCTTCATCTGAGCTGCTGCAACTGCGTCAAACCAAAACCCCGGCTGAGCTCATTCGTCTGGTATGACCCAGAGCCAGCAGTCTGCGCCCAAACACGCAGATGAAAGCTGTGAGTGCTAACTGCTAATTAGCACAGCTTCAGAAGCACATGTGGGAGGGGCCTGTGGGCAAGGGAGAGTTTAGCCGCTGTGGTAATGATGAGGGAGATGGGCTGCGTGCCAACATGAGGTCATTTTCACAGATGGATCAGCAGCATTTATCACAGCTACCGGTCGGCCGTTACCGAAAGCATTCCCAAAATAGAACAGTCCGATCCTGCAGCACCTCAGATAAAGTCCAGTGGGACTGAGAGCTAAATGTGTGACACTGTAAACTTATGTTCAGGCTTTGTTTTTATGACAGCCCACCAGAATCAGACGTTTAAACCAGGCAGCAGCCGCTCTCACCTGTCTCTGGGGAACTCCCATCGCGGATCCTCCGGAAGGTCGTACTCGGGGATCGGCTCGTCGTGTGCCGAGCTCCTCCGGGTGGTGATGCGTACCAGGGGGGTGCTGGAGTTCATGGAGGAGCTCGAATCAGCCGACACCTACAGGAGAAAAGAGGTTGGCTAATCAACACCGTCTGAGCTCAGGGGCCAGCTAAAGCTCCAAGGCATCTCCAGAAGAGTTTACATGGGAATTATTCTACGTGACCTCTTGGAAATGTAATCACGCCGCTTCGCCTCGCACATACATCTAAATAGAACAAACTTAATTACCACAGTTATTAGTTTAACGTCAGCACAGAGCGTTTCCCCAGGCCACAGATTACATTTCATGCGTTGTTGAGACGTTGGCAACCAAAGAAATGTTGGTGAACTTGTGATCATCTCTGTGCCTTCAGTGTCCCAGGGGGCTCATCTCTACTCTCTCCATCCTAGCCTTACCTTGACACAGGAATCATTTTCTTCCCAGAATGTAATCCAAGATTTTCTGAACCTTTCTGGTTTCCTTGGGGTGAAAGAAAGTCTCCCGATGAGGAGAAAAACGACTCCTGCTGCACTTTAAGGCAGCAGGGCTGACTTCTGCACACATTTCAAATGAATCCGCTCCATGGGGCCAATTTTAAAGCAACAAACTGCTTCATTTTTCTACATTTTAGAAAATAATTCATATATTTTTATCATATCTGAAAATATAAAATTAAATCTAATTAATTTGAGTTAAATCTGAAACATCTCAAAGTTCAAAGGAACTTTGAGATGTTTGTGAGGGCACCTCTGCACCCTGCTGTTACCTTGGGAGGTTACTTATGGTTTAAATCAGTCCAAACGTGTAAATCACATTAATATTTAGTTTAAAAGTGACACATCTATATTTAGATCTCATGTTTGAATTAAACTTTATGTGTTTAAACTTGTTCCAGGCATTTTTTATTAACATATTTAGATATATGCCTAATTATTTAACACACATTTTGGGATTTGTGTTTAAATATTTATACATAAATTTGAAGTTTCTTAAATCAAAAGGATGAAAAGGTGACCAAGAGCTAAATATGACAAAACACAGCTTTAAAGCAGCGGTAAAAGCCACATGTGCATCTGCAGCAATGTGCTTATTCTACTTTTTGTTTATATTTAAAGTTTTATTTTATATAAAAAACACATTTTAAACTATTCCAGTAATGCAGATGAATTGCATCAATGAGAAAATGAAGTAAATGTTTAACTTAAAATGCATTAAATATATTTTTTATGATTTTTAAATGTATTTGGTGTGAACTACAGCTACATACTTTAAAGAGCAAGTCACCCACGACCAGATTCTTACTCAACTCCCACTTCCTGTTTGAAAAATGCAACAAATGCTGTGGCCTAGCAGACCGAGAGGGCGGAGTCACTAACAAATACACACACTCACGACATTGTGACATCATAATCTACCATCTAACATCATAGTTTACCTCTTAGCCAATAGCGATGGCAGATTTAAATTCAAGTACAGTGCAGAATTTTTCCCTGACGACGGTACATCGCAGACAGTTTTAGGCAGAATGTTTAAATTTGAACTAAAATGCCGAATTATTGAATACATTTGTCTACAGCACGATCAGACACTCATTTATATAGTTTATCAGCAAAAACATGTTGATTTGGAGTGACTTGCTCTTTAAATGAAGTAAAAACTAAAGTCACTGTGTGTGTGTGTGTGTGTGTGTGTGTGTGTGTGTGTTTTCCTCTGGAGGTGTTAGATGCCTTTAGAACTCTTTATCTACTTTCTGTTACCTGGCGGCGCAGAGGAATCTGTTTGGTGAGTTTGTGGACCGTCGGTTGCCCCCCAAAGTCGGGCTTCTTTGTGGTGTTTCTCATGCGACACACCACCACGATGGCCACCATGCAGGTGATGAGGAAGACGCCGGCGCAGTAAATGGCAATTTCCACATAATCTGGAGAAATGGGCTCTATGGATTTGTCAGGCGCTAGAAAAAACGACAGAAGGGTTAGTGATCAGAGAAAAAGAAAGGAGACGGTCGCACATGTGCTTCATTTGAACCGAGGCACAAGAATAAGGCAAACACAGAGACACGTGCTTTGGAGATGACTCGTGTGCAAACGTAATCACTGTCGGAAGAATAACAAACAGAAGCGTTTTCTTTATTTGCCAAAGTTATCAGCATGCATGACAGATCTGAAATCATGACTCCGCTACAACAACCAGGCTGGTACGCAGCTGAATAAATGAGGATCGCTGTAAACATGGACGTAATTTTGGGGGGGGACAGGGGGGACATGTCCCCCTCACTTTTTCCAAAGTCAAGTTTTGATCCCTGCACTTTTTACCATCCAAAAACAATATTACGCTATATTAAATTGACACTGGTTGAGCTCAAGGACCAAGTGGAAAACAACCGTTTGTGTTGAAGCCTGTTTCCCATTAGAGCATACTGTAAAGGTACCACCCCCCCCTCCATGTCCCCCCCACTTCTAAAGTGAAAATTACGTCCATGGCTGTAAAGACACTGACAGTGACTCGACGCTACCTGCTGGGTTCCTAATATGGGAAACTTTTTTCTGATTGGCCTAATGAACTGAAATGTTTACTGTGTGAGGTGCCTTGAGACGGCGCTTGTCGTGATTTGGCGCTTTATAAATAAACTTGAATTAATAAAGAGACGCGTGAGCTCACAAACACCCTCAAAGACATCTGAGCATTTTAAAGCTTTCCAGTGTCTACTGTGGTTTTATATGGACTGAACTTCCTGTCAGCGAAATGGGCCGAGCTTGGATGAGTGCATGCTGCAGAAAAACCGTTCCATAAATGCAGAGCCATCCAGACGACAAACAATTCAGAGCCAAGCCATGAGCCGTCGGGCAGCTGCACGTAGGAGACTGTGTTTTTATAATTGTGTTTTAAAACCACAACACATGGACAGATCTGCCTCAAAAGCACCACCAGTACAAAAAGAGCACTTTATGGGCAGAACATATTCAATAAAACTCCTACCAGAAATGGCCGAATACCAGTTTGGTCTGTTGAGTGAGGACTGTCAACTAATCTCTTAAATGCTCGCTGGACTCATGACTTTTGTCTATTTGACCCTTTGGTATTTCCTGTCCCGATATAAGGCGACAGACTGAACCAATGGATGAATGTCACATTCACAAGCATGAGTCGTCGTGTCGAAGCGGAGAGGTTTGGCTCTGATAATTGAGAAAGTTAAGCCAACATGAAGCGAGTGTTGAGCTACATCTTTCTAAATTTACATGAAAATGAAGAAGATCCTAAAAGGAGCCAATTATCAGAGCCAGGAAATGGGAAAGGAGACAACTGGAGGCACGAGTTTACAAACAATCTGAGCCAAAGTTTGGCACTGATAAAAGTATCCCAAAGCAGTCGGAAGGATGGGAATAAAGAGAAGGCAATTCCTCTGCTGCTGTTGGAATCCGGAGTTGCAATCCGACGAGTTGACAACAAAATACACAAACATCTTTTCGGAGTTTTCAACAGTTCGCCAAGTCACTGCATAATCAACCAATACTTGAGTCGTGCAAACTGGATTCCAAGGGGAGGATTTGCCTTGCATGAAGGTCATTCAACATGCAACTACTTGAGACAAAAACAAGAAAGAGAACAAAGGGGCACCATACGAGTTCTTATACCTGGAAGCACCGTCAAAGTAGCAGTGTGATAGGAGATCCCAATAGAATTACCCGCCAAGCATGTATACTCCCCAGCATCCTCAAATGTTACATTGGGCAAGTAGAGAACTTCTATCTCCTTATCTGTGGTGTTAACTCCTGCGGTCTGGAAGAGGAGGAGAAAAAGGAGGAAGAAGAGAGGTGCAAACGTAAAAGAAGAAGGTGAAGTCAGAAGATGAGAGCAGAGAATAGAAAGAAAATAAATTAGACCCACAACACCAGAAAAGGTTTCTAAGGAGCTGGATAGTGTCCATTCTTGTGGTCCCATCTAGAGGAATGATGCTGGGAGTGACGAGGGGGAGAAGACAAAGCCCAAAACACCGTAACATAAGGAAAACATAAACAATACAGCAAAAGCAAACAATACCCATCACCATTGGAACCTGCTTACAGAAACCAGTCTAGTCCAAACACTGAACTGAAAACATGCAAACACAGAGGACATGGAGAGAACTGTAACGCTTTCCTGACAAAGCTCGGAAAGCATCAGAAAGAGTTAAAAACAAAAAAACCTAAGATCAGGTAAGATGAAGGCCTAAACAGTGCTTCCATGGCGGCACCAGTCCTGAAGTGGAGGGGCAGCTGAAAGACAAGGGTGTGACATCTGGAAGGGGGAGCATCCTCGAACCCCAGGACCAACAAGAGACCACCAGCAGCACCACCACAGAACAGTGGGAAAACCACACCGGTAGGAAGGGTTGGGGGGGGGGGGGGGGGGGGTAGGATCAGGTCTCAAGGGTTACCTGGGATGACAGTCAGCCAGCCCGACTGGCTGGCCTCGCCTATATAATTGGAGACTTTACAGATATACTCTCCAGCATCGTCCTCTGTCACATTGGTAAGGGTGAGCATCTCCACATCTGAGCTGTTAATGCCTGAACGCTGCAATCCACATTAGAAACATCAGACAAATGAACAGGCAAGTTCAGACACAGGTGTCTCAAGACTAAAACACCACTTTTATGTATCTCTACACAGAGCTACTGGGCAGAAAAGAGTTCTGCAAGAGCCAGTGGGGTCAATACCGGTCAACTGAAACGGACAAATACCAAGGGTTCGACCTAAATCAGAAGTATACAACAGAAAAAGTTATCTACCTTTAGCACTCTGACGTAGGGGTGACCATCAGGGCCCAACCGACTGCCGTTCCTACTGATGTGTTTCAGCCACTGGATGTGAGGCTGAGCATCGCTGTAGACCTTGCAGACAAAGCGGGCATCCTCTCCAACGCGGACAGTGGTGTTGGCGGGGAGACCAGCCTGGAGAATGGGCCGGTGGGGAGAACGTTCTGTTGAAAGGAAGAAAATTGTCATTGGAACCAAAGGGTTGGAGTTAAGAACGGTCACTGGTCTATAAACATTAGAACGTCACTCCTGAAAACTGGGTAGGCAACACTTTAGGATGTGGAAGCACGATTCTTGTTCATCATCGTGATTTCAAAAGGTAATGATGTCAGGTGGAACAAAAGTTTCATTAAACTGTTGAGCATTTCTACGTGTTACTGAGTAAAGTGATGGGTTTAACTATGTGCAGCTGCAGCCTCACATCACCAGCATTCGTTTAGAAGTCAAGCCTGCGTGTTTGAACTGAGCAAGACCTTTGGAACAATGCTCTCCTTTCAAACACGACCCATCCTTCAAAAATCCGCCGCAGACATCTATCATCACCAAATTCACTCACTCAAATTTGCTGCCAGGTCTTTTGAAAGTAAAGCCTTAATGCAGTGGGTTGGGTTGTGAAACAAATGCGTTGAAATTGGTTCAATCCATCCAAAAGCAAGTCCCCATTCCTTCAAAAGGTCATCAGGTTCCACTCCCACATTCTCCTCTATCTTAGTGCTGCCTTGTCTTTTACTCTAAAACACTCTTAGGAACCTAGTTGGTGTCCACGGCTAGCTCCCTGTACCTAATGCGATCGATGCGATGTCATATCAGACACTGTTCCCTCGCTTTCAGCTGTCTGCCACCAACAGGACATCAAAGTCTTCATTTAGTCAGACACATACAGGAAAATGACACCAAACCGTTCATCAGTGTGTCTCATGCGCTCTGGTCGATTCTGTGTGGGATACTACAGCCTAGAGTTCTACTAGTAAAGCTGAGCCTTTGGTTCCAGTTCTACAGGTACTACTTCGGAAGTTTACGGGTATTCTACTGAAACAAAGGGTGCACCATCCATTTCATTTCTAGACTTTTTAATGAAATGGTTGAAGTGTTGGGATAGGGTCATAAAAAAGCACTACTCCAGGACCAGTGAACGGCGAAGAACCTTGTGATTTGGCACGTTAGCACCCAAACATCAGTGATTAATAAAGACCCAGAAAACATACTTTGTGGTACAGGAAACCACGTGGGTACCCACAAAGTTCTCCGTAGCCACTGGGTGCTGTGGTTCTCTGAGGTCTGCTCCTTTTCTTGTCTGTTTGCCATGTGTGTCAGCTTGTAGCTGCCCCACTGAGACCTTTTCTCTGGATACCAGTTCAACCCAGTTAATCGGGTCTTTTATTGGTTTAAGCAGCCCATACTGCATATCATTTGGGCAAAACCGGTGAAAAGAAGGGCCTTTTTTATTCTCCATTTCCTCTCCTTTAGTCCATCTCTGCTGTCTCGCCTCTCTGACCCCACTCTAGTGGAGTAAAATGACGCAAGAGGTTGGAGGGAGCAGTTGTTACGGAGCCAGACAGTGACTGGGTTTACTGCTCTGCAATAAAACTGAACAAAAACAGAAAACTGTAGCTTGACCAAGAACTTGAGCCAACTCCAGAGGGAGTCAGAGTAGGGGGCCCTCGGCTGGGGTATACCTCCTTGGGGTTGACCTTTGTGTGTTTCCGAGCGTATGGTAATGCATTCATCAGATAATTAATATCAGTTTGGTGTGTAAATACCAAGCAGACATAAATAAAACCATTTCTTATTGTGTCAGGGCTTCTATAGATACATACATTACATAAGTTCAGTAGAAAATGGTTGTTGAGTAAAACTGCTTCTGGTTATCTGTGGTTCATTGACCATTGGCTTTATAAGAATGACTCTATCAGATTTACTTTAACGTGTACTAATAATTTTCAAACTGAGTCCTTGAGTTCAAAGAAGAGCAGGTCTGCATCAACATAAAGAGCAAAGGTGAACTCTCACAAACACATCTACTATCTTTATCCCACTCTCCACGGAGCTCTCGCTGTCCATCGATCCTGAAAACGGAGCAGAAAAACACCACTAATCTGCACTCCAAAGGTCAGACAGAAAGGTCGGCTGAGGTCTAAACGCTCTGTGATTGTGCTGAGGCCAGCGTTCTGTCGGCTAAAAGATTTACACCTGATGACCAGTTGAAAGGCCTCGTCATACCTGAGTTGATTCTGAAGTCAGACTGAAGACACAACGCTTTTACGTGCCTTCACACAGGTGCAGCTTCTGGTCGTTTGAAACATCAAATGAATCAAACGTTATGAGGTCAAATAATAAGAACTACTCTGAAACTGTTGACACGTTCATCTACTGCCCTGGCAGCGGTCCTTCACCTCCACCTGCTTCCAGAGTGCACCTGGGCAATTAAACGCCACCCTCTCCGTGAGAAATCTCCCCTCTAGGTTCTCACTTCTCCCAGTTTGACCAGCTGCATGAATTCCAATGCTGATCCATTTTTGTCAACGTTACCTACCGACTACATCCAGCGTGTAGGTGTGGTTGATGGATCCGAACTTGTTTTCCACCAAGCAGGTGTAGTTTCCCTTGTCCGACGGCACCACGCTCTCCATGATGAGGGTCCAGTGCTGTGGCCGCACCTGGATCCAAGACACCGAGCCGGTGAGCGGACACGAGCAAACAGGAAAAGAGCAAACCAAACGACAGAAGGGATATGGCGGAGGGCGTGAAAGAATGAAAGATGGTTTCACACAAAAATGAATCCAAGACAGCCTGATTTCACTGGCATGACAGTACAACATTTGAAAATATTCTTTTTTCATTAACTTATTTTAATTAAGTTACTCAAAAAAATCTGCCTCACAGTCAAGAATTGCCTGATTCGTCTGCCGATCACCACCAACGTGTGCCCAAAACCCCACCCTTGTACACGCATCGTTTCAAGCGTGTAGTTGCTCTGTTATTTGCAAAAGCAGTTTCACCTGCATGTGGAATTCACAGGTGTGTGCTCACGATAGAGTTTCCTTCTCCAGACTGAAGAGACACTGTAACCGCTGCTTGTAAAGGCCTACATTTCACACAATAGGACGGCAAGGCCACAGGGCTGGGCTCAGGTACACCCTTTTGTCCAACATTTGTGGACAAAAAGAGAGGAATGAAGCGTCTGCAGTGAAACTGACAGGCTGCTTGTGTCACTTCCGGGGCTTTATTGTCTTAGGTGTGATGAGCCGGCTGAAAGCCAAAGGGGGGGGGGGGGGGCATCTGCAGCTACACCAGGGACTCATTTCCTCATAAAACCATCAGTTATTAACCAGGTGCCTTGAACTAGCTCAGCATCACTGGAAATTTTTGTTGTGTCATTTCATAACTTTCAGTTAAAACGGTCATTAAACGGTCGATAAAGACATCCTGCCACAGCGAAACAACAGTCGAAGGGAGAGAAACATAAAAATGTATGTTGGTTTTAATCGTAATGTACAAAACAAATTACATTCAGGCAAATTTAACCCTTTGATGCATGAATTATGAAATCTTCAACCATGATTTTTTAACAATTTTTTTCATTCATCTTTAGGTGTGAATGAAACAAATTTCAACAAATATTTTTTGTAAAATTTTATAATTTACAAATAATTTATTACATGTCCACCTCAGTGGATAGCGTGCAATCTGAGCATGAAATATGTTGGCTTGGCTTACCGAAGTCCAAATGGAGGGGCTAAAATGCAATAAAGTCTTCAACAGCTGTGCTTAATAGCAAAAATAAATAAATAAAAATTTTGAGTACCTGTCCACTGTAGTGACCATTATGCATCAAAGGGTTAAACTGTTTTCTTTTAACTTTGACGATCAAAACGACGACTAAAATATGTTAATAACTGTGATTTTCTAACTAGGGTCTTGAGGTGATCAACAAAAGTAATTAAAAAAAGACTATTTTTGTCAAAAATGGATAAAACTGGTAAAATATTGATATATTTGTAGTAAAATTATTAAATCAGAGCCCAAGTGTTGAGGCACCCACCGTTCATCATGATAGATAAAAGGTGAAAATAAAGAAAAATGCTGCAAGCTGCAGTCAGATTGGATTATTTTGTAGTCATCTCTTGTCTGCCTGCCTGTCCAGTCTGCTGCACAACTCAGATGAATGCCATGAATTCAATAAGGTCAACTACCCAATGGAAGAAGTACCTGTATCCGGATGCTTATTGTAAGACACTCAGATCCACCATTTAGTCAGAGGCAGGCTGGTTTAAAAATACATATTTTTGTTTTTAATTCAGACTTTTATTGACACAAATATCACTAATTACCCTGAAATATTGTGATTTGGTTTTGAGGTTGCCTCCTCCATCCCCAGCAGTAAAACACTGGTCTTGGCTCTAAAGCAAGCTGTTAGCTCATGAATTTTAACCCTATTTCTCCAAAGGAGGCTGCTCCAGTGATCATTTACTGTACGACTCTTTTACAGAAACTTGGTTTTAAAGCAAACATGAGTCACTAAACTGATTATTCCATCCCTAATCACATCAGCCCGGGACTCCTGTGGTTTTTATTTTAGGACAATCACAGCTTGTGCAGCAGTACGTTAAGTTTAACAATTAAACAGCAAAGCAAGAGTTTGCAACCGAAGTTTATGACAAATGAATTACCTCCAGGAATCTCGTAACCAAACCAGCTGGGCTTGTTTGGCCGAGTTACCTTAGCGTTCTGAACTCGTTTCAACCCTGAACTGCTTTCTCTCTGTGTTACTGTCTGCGGGCATGTAACCCTCAAGTCCCCGGCTTATGATTCTAATTGATAGAGGTGAAAAATAAAACTTTCACGTTACAGTGACAGAGTCTGCAAAGTATCCTGATGAGAGGGGGAGCACGGATGAGCAATTCCAATTTCACACCAGAAACCTTGCCCTCATTTCCCTCCTATCTCCTCTCCTCCCATCTCTCCAGTGAAGGGTGGAAAAGAGGTGAAAGGACAAGATGGAGGGAGGAGGCCAGCAGCCCCTTTTAAAAATACATTCCCAAAACCAACAGAGGAGGTAGAGTTGACATTTGTATGGCTGTTTATCTTACCTTGTATCCTCCCATGCGGTCTTCTTGGCGGAAGAGCCTGCCGTTTTTTAGCCAACGCAGCGACGGCTTGGGGTTGCCTCCTGCGGCGCAGCGGAACTTGACGGTGTTGGCAGCTGGCACTGCGTGCAGCTTCTTCTCCATCTTGGCTGATGAGGTCCAGTACGGAGCGCCTGGAAACCAAACAGAAAGTGCCATTTAGTCATTTCCAGATAAAGTACTTTTGCAGAGATTCCCCCAATCTCCTTTTGCCATGCCGTCTGAATATCTCGAGCCCCACACTCTCACGGCTAAACACAAACACACATTTTTCCTGTGGGCTCTGCAGGAAGCTCTACGGAGGGGGAAAGGACCCCAGCTTTAAAGGGCTAGGCGTTGCCAAGAGGGTAACTAGACCATCACATTCAGTTTATCTCATTGAACTTAGCAGTTTTTTTCCTTCCTCTACTTCCTCCAATTACAGCAGCTAGCTACCCTGCTAATCCTCCTGTCACTTGGCTCCATGTGAACACCAGGGTCCTGGAATACCATCATAGACCATCAGGAGAAGACAATCTTCCATTATCAAAACCAACAGGCCCTCACCATTCCTCAAAATATTTTTAGTGTTTTATGCATTCCTCAACTTTTGTCCCTCAGTCTGCCGAATCTCCTCCAGACACCCCATCCCCCCCTTTCTCCCTAGCACCTGGGACTGTGATTGCCGAAGCAGATGGGACTTGAAGTGGAAGAGAAAGCAAACAACAACCCAAACGGGCCTTGACACCACCACTTCCTCCTGATCTGGCCGGGCAGGCAACGGGGTAATTCCTACTGATAACAGGACGGAGGATTAAAGTAGCGGCACCCCCTAGAGAACGTTTTCTCCGGCACTCACAACCGGACATGTCGAGCATTCTTGGTTGGTAAAGTCAGTAAACATCACTCTTCCTTCCTGAATAGATGTAAAAAACAAGTGTTTGAACTCTAAATGGTCTTTCACCCATTTCTCCTCTAGCTCACTCATTAACTGCTGTCACCTTTAGGCTTGGTACATTTTTCCCCATCATCACTTTAACGGTACAGACGGAGACAGATGAGATGGAGAGTGGCCATTTGCAAGCCTCTGATCCAGAACTGGCAGACCAGAGCATCAGGTGCTGTTTCCCAGGCTCTCTGTCCAAAGAAGGAGGAACTGAAGCACCCCCAGAGCAGCTGAAGCCAAACTCTTGCTGGTCCAAGTGTTATGGCTTCTACAAAGCCCCCGCCGCCCCAGAAGCCTTGTGCATCCGGATCTCCTCTTCATGCGCGGCTGTTTATCCTTAGCTGGCCAGGGGTGAACTGAGGTTATCTAACTCCGGAGCTGAGTCAAGATTTTTTTTTTGTCTGGAAGTTGTTCCAGAAAGCCAATCCATCAGTGTCCTCGAGCTGAGTGTCACTCTGAACTCTTGACTGATGTGTTTGTGTTCCCTCTGAACGTTGGCAGCTCTCTAACGCATTACTGGATCCAGTCAGTTTTTTGAAAGTGGTTTTCAGAAGGATTTAATTACTAATTGTATGAGTTTTACAGGATGGTGCAAAACGTCATGCATCTGTTGAAACAGAAAATCGCTTAAGCTAATGGCTAGCTGTAACTAGTCCAAGCTAGTCATCTCCCGCCTCGATTACCGCAATGCCCTTCTAACTGGTCTTCCAGGCTGTACTGTGAGACCTCTTCAAATGGTCCAGAACGCAGCGGCGCGTCTGGTCTTCCATCAGCCAAAAAGAGCACACGCCACCCCTCTGTTCATTGAGCTCCACTGGCTACCGCTAGCAGCACGCATCAAATTCAAATTGCTAACACTAGCATACAAAGTCCGAGATGGTACGGCTCCCATCTACCTGAATCCTCTTGCAAAGGCTTACGTCTCGGCCCGGCCGCTCCGTACATATCAGGATCGTCAGCTAGCAGTGCCTACACCACGCTCAGGACAATCCAGACTCTTCTCATGCATCGTTCCACAAATGTGGAATGACCTTCCTAACACTACCAGAACAGCGGCTTCCTTTTCAATTTTCAAGAAACTCTTGAAGACCCTGCTCTTCAGAGAGCATCTTCTTAACTAGCACCCTCCCTGCACCCGTCCCCCCTCTCTACTGTCCACTCCTTGTTCCCTACTCTCCATGATTTATGTGAAGTTGTTGTTGTTATTGTTGTTGTTAGCCTCAAGGGCAACATGCCGATTATCACTTGTAAGTCGCTTTGGACAAAAGTGTCTGCTAAATACATAAACGTAAACATGGTTAGCCCAAAACTTTATTTCTCCAAACTAAGTCTATTCAAATATCTATTTACAAGATTTATTTATAACTTTTACACACAAATATTCTCACAAGACAAAAGCTTTGGCTTTAATAGCTCTAATTTTACTTGAAAATGTTTCCCAACATTTGTTAGATTCTTTTTAAACACAAAAACAGGAAATTTTCCTTCTTTTAGCAAAAGCGATTCAGCTCGTTTTCCACTATCGGAACTTCTAGGTCATTTCACTGGACCTTCCCAGCATGCATGCGTCTCCATTTCACAAGTCCAACATGGAAGGACGATTTTCCGGGACATTTTGGAGACTGACCGAGTACCTGAACTGGGGTTGCATTCAGGAGTGGCCCGGTAGAGTCACTGGGTGGGACTTGTGGTTAACTCGAGCTGATTGATAACCCTAACCCTAACCAGAAATGAAATCGGCATTTGTTAAAGTGGAAAAGTTGCCGGTGAAGCGGAATGGAAGGAAAAGAAAAAAAAGGAGCATTAACACTGCTTTAAAATTGCTGTTTCTAATCTACCAACGTCAACAAAGGTGCCAGAAATCGCTCCACAACGCTTTGCGGTCTACAGATCAACGTAAAATAACTGCATTTTTTCCTGATTCCTTACTGCAGCTTCTTGTCACAGCCACTCTCCCTGTACCCCGAATTGATAAGATTAGGCAAACTTTGATGAAATAAAACTTCTTTATGTCAGTGGATGCCTTTTGGCTCTGATCAATGATGTCACTCAGTGCCCAAACGCTCGTGTTGAGATGACATCTTAGCAAATTCCTGAAAGGGACGATTTTGAGTGGCGACACAATCACAGACATCACATATGTAGACATCTCGTGCCTATTGGAGCTGCTGTTGTGGGTGGCCGCCATCTTAGATGGGTCTCCATTCACCCCCAGTGCATTTATTTCTACCCCACTAAAAACACATTTTATTATGATTTTTCCCTAAATCAGACATATGGTATGACATGATAATTAAAATATAATTATAATAAAAATAATTCCGGGTCAGGGATGAGGTCCTGCCCCAAGTGGAGGAGTTTAAGTATCTCAGGGTCTTGTTCACAAGTGAGGGAAAACTGGAGCGTGACATCGATAGGTGGATTGGTGCTGTATCTGCAGTGATGCAGGCGTTGTACCGGTCTGTCGTGGTGAAGAGAAAGCTGAGTCAGAGGGCAAAGCTCTCAATTTACCGGTCGATCTACCCTTACCTATGGTCACGAGCTTTGGGTAGTGGCCGAAAGAACGAGATCGCGGACACAAGCGGCCGAAATGAGTTTTCTCCGAAGAGTGGCTGGGCTCTCCCTTAGAGATAGGGTGAGAAGCTCAGTCATCCGGGAGGGGCTTGGAGTAGACCCGCTGCTCCTCCACATCGAGAGGAGCCAGTTGAGGTGGCTCGGGCATCTGGTCAGGATGAATCCCGGACGCCTCCCTGGTGAGGTTTTCCGGGCACGTCCAACTGGGAGACCTAAAGGTAGACCCAGGACACGCTGGAGGGACTATGTCTCTCACCTGGCCAGGGAACGCCTTGGAATTCCCCCGGAGGAGCTGGCCCAAGTGGCTGGGGAGAGGGAAGTCTGGGCCTCTCGACTTAGGCTACTGCCCCCGCGACCTGACTCCGGATAAGCGGATGAAAATGGATGGAATAAAAAAATAATATATAAAATCCCAACAACAGGCTAGAAAAGTCCATAGTAATCCCGCGTGATCTGTTTTCATTAGTGTTGCAACCGTAGGCTGCAAAAAAAAAACACCTTGCATTGGCTCAAGTTGAGCTTGGAGAGTGAGGAACCCATCCAACATGGCGACAACCTAGTTGCACTCTCCAGCGCCCAATGGGACATCTACATACTCATGTCTATAGACACAACTCTCTCCATGTGTACTTCCTTCGCTCTTCCTTGCAATCGTCCGTGGCTCCGAGCCAAACACCGGGCACACAAAACTGTTGGTTCTGATCCAACGCTTGCCTACTCCTCCTCTTCCTCCTCCTCTTCTGTCACTTCTCTTTTGATAATAATCTCAGTTTTGAATTTTCAGAAACACACACGGCGAAAAATTACAACTGTGCTGCCAGAACAGCTTAGTCCTTGTTTTCAAACAGCTTATTACTACCAGAAAGGCTGGATCCTTCCCCCCTCCTCTTGACTTTTCCTTTTTTCTCCTTCTTCTTTGTGCTGCGTTGGTTACCCCCCCCCCCCCCACTCTCTCTCTCTTTCCCCCTTATTTAATGGATTTCAGGCAATTACAGTCAGCTGAAAGTGGAGGAGGAGAACTCACGGTGAGACGCAATTTGTGCCGAGAATTTTAACAAGATGTGGAAGCCCTCGTCATTACTTCAGCCTTCTTTTCAGAGTGTGTGTGTGTGTGTGTGTGTGTGAGAAGGCAGGCTGCTGCATAAACACATTACTGCTTCACCGCCACGCTGACAAACTTGGATAGAAAACTTTCTCTTTTTCACACACACACACACACACACACACACACACACACACACACACACACACACACACACACACACACACACACACACACACACACACACACACACACACACACACACAGGGTCCAGATGGGTAACTGGGTCCAGATGGACATCTTTCATAATAGATGAGCACAGCTGACTGACTGGCGAGCTTGCTTGTTGGCTCCATGAGCCCCGACTACCTGGGAGACACCAACTAAAGGAATCTCAGGAATTCCTGTATTCCCTGGAGCGTCCAGCCTAGAAGAAACACACACACACACACATCTAACGTTTTTCTGCATGGGCCCAGACAAGAAGAGCAGCGACATGGGGGAATTTGATGTGTTGCTGTTCTTGCTAACAGCTGTCTCCGCCCAATCCCAAAAGACCAGAGACTTAAAAAAAAAACTTTTTATACTGCTTTAATAATAATTGCACAGCCTGAGCCGCAGTGAGAAACAAGCTAAATAGATTATTTAGCTCTGGGATCATGAGTTTGTAGATGATCACAATTACAAGTCCAGGTTTAAGGTGTTCATGGGGAGATCAGCAGCTTTAAAAGGTCAATGTTGTCATTTCTACGATGTCAGAGTAATTTGGTTTATCCAAAGTGGCTCACAGTTCTGACCACAGCAATGCAGTTATTTAACCTAACATTAATGAACTTGACCCTTGCTTGGTTTCTCTGCTATAGGAGCACCGATGCAACTCCACCTTAACTCCAGCTGCTTTAGGCACATCCATTACGAGATCGGCGTGGAAGAAGAATTTCTAACTGCGGTTTGTTACTCACTTAACTGCTCTCCATCTGCGCCGGTGTCCTCCGATCGCTCTGTGTCGTCCTCATCATCCCCCGATGAGATGGCATCTGCACAGAGTAACCATGGTTACCGCTACACATCCACAAGTCCCACAACTCACATGCTGGGAAGCAGTCTTAAATCCCAGCTCTGGATTAATCACATTATCACTGCTTCACACCATCGACATATATATTAACTAGACCAAGTGTGTGTGTGTGTGAAGGAGAGGGGTGGGTGACAATATTAGATCTTAACTCATTCACTGCCAATGACGACTAAAGTCGTCATTTGCATGTTTTTACTGTGTGGGCGTCGGACGAGCCCCCGCACCGTGAGAGCAAACATCTCAGCTCTAAAGCCGATCTTCATCCGCGTACGTCACACGTCACGTGATCAGGAAGCAGAACATCCATGTGTTGGGAGATCGTTTTGGGCCGCTGCTGTAAAAGAAGTGAGGCGCGAACTGGAAAAGCTTCTGCCGATCACAATTCAACAACGGGTTATGAAAGAACGGATAACGCTCGAAAGGCGTGGATTCTTCCTGATGTAAGAGGTGAGTCTCCTCTTTGTTTGGTTGTTTTGTTGTCGACATCATCCTAGCGCGCAACGTTCTGTGACTCTTAAAAAAACAGTAACACGGTGAGAAACGCTGGCAGTGAATGAGTTAAACAACTTGCTGATGCTTCACCAAAACAGAGAAATCATAAATGTGTTCATTCTGCCAGAACTATAGAGAACAGAGCAGGTTTGAGAACCGTTTCCACCCGGACCGATTTAGATGTGACACTCACAGCCTGACCAGTACTAATCGTGTGTGTGTGTTCCTGAAAAAAATCTAATAGTGCTAAAGATGTGTTTTCTCAATGATCTGGTTTTGCTCCATTATGACGACCTCACTGTAAGCTGTGAAAACATGTTAGCATTGCTAGCAGTGTTAGCATAAGGCAGCTAACATCGTGTCCGCGCTTTGCCTGCTGTTTCCATTGAGTGAACTCTGATAATGCGTGTGTTAACTTCACATAACTCTGAAAGTGGAGACGCTTTAGCAGAACGACGTTGTTAATGTGGAAAGGATGAGCTACGTTGTTTTTAGTTCAATTTCAGATTATTTAGCCTGAATTTTAAAGTATTTTTCTTCTGCGGCTGCACAAGCCAACAGCGTGGTTGCGTAGTTCGGTATCATGCAAACGTTTAAAAACTCGATAGATAGACTTTTAAGAAAATTATGACAAAATTGTGGTTACAAGTTTGCTGTAAAATTATTTAAAATATAAACGTTTCCCAAGATTCAAAGGAGGCATCTGAACTTTATACAGTGTTGAATACTAAGGGAACGGTTTGGTGTATTTGGAGTCTGAGTTTGAACTCACCTTAGCGCACTAATGGTGATGGAATAAAGTTAAATAATTAATTATAACGACACCTATTTGGAAAGCAAACATTCTAACAAACCGCATCAACATAAAATCAAGAATCGACAAAATTAAACACCTGGAAAGAATTGTCTGAGGTGTTTTCTTCCTGTTTGTTTACATCGAAGGGGGCGGGGCTTAAAACTTGCACTGGAACCAACCACTAGGGGTCTCTTAGATAGCTTTTTTTACTTTCTTGATTATGTCGCTGGATCTAGATGGTATATATGTCGATGCACACACACACACAAACACACACAATCAAATCCTTCCCGTAGCCACTTCCTGAACCAGCCACTCTCCACACGTCCTTCCTGTCCTCCCCTGACCTTTCCTGCTCTGCCTTTTGCCCTGACTCACCTGTGACATTGACTATGAAGCAGACCGTGTCTTTGCCCACGCTGGTGCAGGCGTACAGGCCCGAATCCTTGGGCGTGGCATCACGGATCTGCAGCACCTCATGTTCTATCAGCGTGCGGTTGTTGGTGCCCAAAGAGCTGCCATCTTTGGTCCAAGTGATGGTCCCCGTCGCTGGCAGGGGGCAGCTCAGCTTCAGCACCTCCCCCGGGTGCACTGAGCACACCGTGGGCTTAGAAATTTGGTATTTGTTCGATGCCTCTGCGGAGCACATGGGGGGGAGGAAGAGAGGGAGGTTGAGGTGGAGAGGAAAAGAAAAAAATGGAAGCAGAGAAAGAGAGAGAGGTTGCACAAAGAGGAGAAGGAGGATGTGAGAGAGGAAGAAGTAAGCCATAGTGTAAGAAATAAAACACCACATTATCCCCAATGGATGCACTTAAATCAAATAATGCAAGAGGAGTTTTTCAGGAAAGAAGAGGCCCGTTTAAAAATCACATGAACCACAAACTCCCAGTCAGTCGTCTGAAACGGATCCCACTGCAGTCCTGTCCTGTTATCTACTGGCTTTTAGAGTCAGAGCATGCAGTTATGGCAGCAGCAACACGTGTGGAGAGATAAACAAACGATGATCTGTAAGAACGTGACACCGCCGCGTTGAGACGTCCCCCTAAAGCAACGCTGAAACGAAACGGCGACGCCGGGCAGCCAGTGAGCGTGAGCAGCAGCTCCAAAGGATCTCTGCAGCCTAAAAATAAAAAAGGGGAACACAAGTCCAGCACATCTGCCCGTCACAGAGGAAAGCAGCCAGAAAGGTTGAGGACGAAAGCAGCTGTAAGGCAGGGATGGAAGAAGGGGTGAGGGTGGGGGGGTGGCTCTCTTTACGTGGCACTTTTCTGCACCTCTTCTTCCTGGCTTCTGTTTTCCAGCTCCCCTCTAAAATATTCTTCTCTGCGTTTCATAACAGCACGGGCGATCTGGAGCCCCTGCACAGGATGTAAGAGCTAAGCCAGGGAGCAAGAAGCTCCGTGCCGGATCCAAACGCATAAAAACATAGATTTCTGGGAGAAAACCCAACAGTGAGTTCATGTGCGTACATCACGTCCTCTCACGACTCCACAGACAGAACAAGGTGAACATGCAGCGGGAAAGTCCACAAAACTAACACTCTACTTCCAAAACCGACTCATGACCACACTTTAACGCAAAAACTCCGGACACTTCTTCTCTTTAAGGAAAAAAAAAGCTGGAAGGACCTTTGACCTTTTACTCCTTGCGACCCTTAGGTGACCCCTGACAGGATTAAGCAGATAAAGAAAACAAAAATGAGTCTTTCTGTGTGTGTGTGTGTGTGTGTGTGTGTGTGTGTGTGTGTGTGTGTGTGTGTGTGTGTGTGTGTGTGTGTGTGTGTGTGTGTGTGTGTGTGTAGGTGCATTGACCTCACACACACAGCATCGAGGCATGAGGAGGAGAAAAATCATCGAGCCACAAACAGCTTTAGAGGAATGTGAGAAAATATTTCTCCCTTTTTCACAAACGTATTAATAATCAACCCCCCCCACCCCCCACCCCCCCCGCCTCTAGGGGGACGACCCGCGCCTCGTGCACACACATGCACACTACACACACTTGAGTGCAAAAGAAGGAGATGATAGTGCATCTGAGTGACTGCAGGTTGAGCCTTCGGCCCTTTTCTTATCTCTGCTCCTCCATCAGTCTCTCCCACAACACCTCCGCCCCCGCTGGTACTTGTGACCCCGCTGACCTAAACTCTGACTCTCCGCTGACCCGTCGACGCCTCTCTAACATACCAGATTGTTCATGGGAACTGGGGGGAAGTTTCACACACCTTGACTCAGATACATTTGGCAGACTGATGAGATTTTTTTTGATCGGCCAGTTCTCTCCTCCTCCCTCTTGCCTCTAAAATCCCATTCCCTCCTTTTCCTAACAGCTATTGCACGTGTCGATCAGGCGGAAAATGCTCCAGGCTCCGTTCTAATTCACACCTCGTCTCAGCTGGTAACATTTAGTCCTGCAGTACTGGTTGCAGCTCTCCTGTCGACCAGCCTGTCAGTCTCACTCTCCGCCCCGCCCATGAGCTCCTGGGACGTTTCCTTTAAGTTGGTTTTACCTCGCTGTCGCGTTGGGTTTGAAATATTCACTCGCTCTGGTTTTCTTGTCTTTCCACATCCTGATCCAACTCAGCTGCGCTCTAAGCTCGTCCCTTCATCACAGAGATCTCAGACAAGCCTTATCCTTGAACTGTTGAAGCTCCAGTGAACAAACATCTGCCTTAAAACAGCTTTAAAACTATTCATTTAAAACAAAACTGCTGAATCGTTTTTATTTTCAGCATTTAAACACTGATTAAAGCAGTGAGAAGGCCATATCGTCCCGTCAGACTGCCATACACAGGATATCTGCAGGTTTAAGGGAGCCGAATTTAAGACTTTTTAAGGCCACTTTGTCCAAATTTAAGCTATTTTTAAAACTAAATTTAAGCTATAATTTCCAGCTATTGCCTGGAACCGGTGCTAACCACGTCGTGAACGTGGGATTAGCCATCCAGTTACCATTAAACTTGCACTTCCCCATGGCGCAAGCTCCCACTAGCTTAACCAGCTAACGTGCTCATCTAAAAGTAGCCCCCTTTCACAACCAACTGAATGTGTACGGTTCCGCTTACGCCAACATCGTACACAAAAAATGCTGAACACCAACTAGAAATTCACGAAAATTTTATAGAAATAAAAGAATCTTGTTTATTGGGTCTTTGGTAATTTAAGACCTTTGGAAACTGGATTTAAGGATTATTTGTCATTTTTAAGGGTTTTTAAGGCCTTAAATTTGGAAAAGCTAATTTAAGACTTTTTAAGACCTTTTTAAGGCCACTTTGACCAAATTTAAGCTATTTTTAAAACTAAATTTAAGATTAAATTTCCAGCTATTGCCTGGAACCGGCGCTAACCACGTTGCGAACGTGGGATTAGCCATCCAGTTACCATTAAACTTGCACTTCCCCATGGCGCAAGCTCCCACTAGCTTAACCAGCTAATGTGCTCATCTAAAAGTAGCCCCCTTTCACAACCAACTGAATGTGTACGGTTCCGCTTACGCCAACATCGTACACAAAAAATGCTGAACACTAACTAGAAATTCACGAAAATTTTATAGAAATAAAAGAATCTTGTTTATTGGGTCTTTGGTAATTTAAGACATTTGGAAACTGGATTTAAGGGTTATTTGTCATTTTTAAGGATTTTTAAGGCCTTAAATTTGGAAAAGCTAATTTAAGACTTTTTAAGGACCCGTGGATACCCTCATGGACGTAATTTTCACTTTAGAAGTGGGGGGGGGACACGGGGGGCGGGGGGGGCGTATCTTTACAGTATGTTCTAATGGGAAACCGGCTTCAACACAAACGGTTGTTTTCTGCTTGGTCCTAGAGCTCAACCAGTGTCAATTTAATATAGCGTAATATTGTTTTTGGATGGTAAAAAGTGCAGGGGTCAAAACTTGACTTTGGAAAAAGTGGGGGGACATGTCCCCCCTGTCCCCCCCCAAAATTACATCCATGGATACCCTGCATACATAGAGTTCAGTTCCATTATCAAACTACAGATGCACACTTTGTGTCATTAACTGGCCTCCTGACACGTTTGCAGCCGGAGTCCTGCAGCGCAGAAAGCCACGACCACAGACACACAACCACTCAGGGTCCGGTTTCTGCCAGCAGAGCATCAGAAGCTGGATTGTTGACATCTGTCCCTTTCCTGTGTCTCTCTAAGATTCGTCGTCCATCCATAATGGAGTCTGTATTTATTTAACCGCTGAAGCATTTTGAAGAACTGCCTCCATGCTGATCAGAGCATTTTTTTGTAGAAGAACAGAGTTTGGCAGAAAACTCGAGGCGCAAAGCCAAGCCATGAGCTGACTTTTGTCAGCTGCTCTCGCTCCAGTGTGCACATTTCCTCCACACTACGAGCAAAAACAAAACTCGGAGTCCCTGAACGTGCCACGGGACGGAAAATGCCCAAAACGCTCACACCTTTGGAGAGCTGGTGCCATTGTTATTCAGCTGTGTCTGTGTGTTTTAATCGCTGTGCAAACAGAGAGCGCCTGAACAAGGTAAACACTCCCGTAGATGCCGGAGCGGCAACAATGGGACTGTTGTGGAGGCTTGAACCAGCGCTCGCTCCACGTCTTCTGTTACAGCAGCAGCAGGTAAACAAACCAGCCAGGGCCACCAGGGGGGCAGGCGTGGGCCCTAAAGAGGCCACACTGATATGCAGCCTGGTGTTTCTGCAGGGTTTCAGCTCCCACAGGCCCAGGTGGGGGGGGGGGGGTCTGAACATCTCCATCAGCGCCGCACAAGTCAGAACATCTGACCTCTCTCTGATTTATGGAGGTTCTTCATCATGTGATGACCCCCTCCTTACCCACCCTGTAGTCACATGACTTCACCGTTGAGCAGTTCTCTGTAATCTCTCCACCTACAGAAGTCAAACGTGCCAAGATCCTCTTAGAGCGTTCCTGGAGGGATTGTGTAACTCTGAAAAAGTCCTCGTCTTCTTTATCCGTGTGTGGAACGCCAGGCTCAGCGGCTGGGAGCCAAACCGTCTGAGTCGGAAAAACAGGACAAGAGAGGAGCGCCGAGGCCCAGGCAGCCTCTCATCACGGCGGGCCGGGGTAGTTCGTGACCCCAGGGGCAAAGGACGACTGCAGGGTACAGTGTGTGTGTGGTGTGTGTGTGTGTGTGTGTGTGTGTGTGTGTGTGTGTGTGTGTGTGTGTGTGTGTGTGTGTGTGTGTGTGTGTGTGTGTGTGTGTGTGTGTGTGTGTGTGTGTGTGTGTGTGTGTGATGCTCTCAGGCTAACTTTAAATTACCCTCCTGATTAAAGAACAAAGAGCAGAGGAATGTGGTTCAGCATCGTCACAACAGCTATGAACTCGTCCGAAAAGCAGAAGCATGAAGAAAATTTGAGGTTTTCTGGGAAAAAAGCTAAAAAATACTTAAAGATTTTTTTCTTCCTAACAAAAGAAAAGCAATAAAAGATTTTTAATCGGATTTTGGTTTTCTCTTCATTTTCTGCTCTGCAGGCGAGGAGGGGCAACGTGACGCCAGGACACACACACACACACACACACACACACACACACACACACACCAGTGAAGGAAAACGAAACGGTGTGAATCGCTTCTCTGTGAGGAAAATCACACCTCGCTACATTCAGGTCAATTATTTTCCACTCACTTGTTTGTTTTACCCCCACCCTCGCTTCACTCCCCCCAATTTTGAGTGAGCTTGTTTTTTTTTTTGTTTTTTTTTTTTTGCTTAAATATTTTCCACCAATTTACTGGATTTTCTTGAAGTTTGAACATAAATAAATCAGTTTTCTGAAGCTAAATGAAGCTTTTATCACTAAAATGACATACAACCCCACCATGTGTCATTTCCACCCCATCTCCATCACGGCTCATCTGCTCCTCCTCATCCTCCTGCTGCTTACCTTCAGGCTCTAGGGTTGCCTCCTCCACTTTGGTGGCGGTGAGAGGCGGCCGGGCCACGCTGACAGTCAGAAGGGACAGCAGGACGGAGGCCAGCAACCAGACCCACAAGGCCATCCCGTTAGAGGGGGTGAGAGCTCCCCATGCCCCCCTTCTCCACCTCCCCCTGGACACTGATCCCATCTGAGGGGCTCGGCCCAACCATCAACTGCTGCTGGATTAGGCTGTCACTCACTGGAATTCACCCAGTCACCTGGACTGTGAAGGATTGGAGAGAAAAGTTAGACAAACAAATCGTGGTTTTCGTTTAATTTTTACAAAGTTTAACAATCCTGCCAAACAAGCCAGACCACAGACGTACCGACGCTCTGAAGCACCAGAGAAACACTCGTTATCACCTTCCCCACCTCAACAAGTCCTCTTAGGTGCATAAAAACAGGAAGATGTTCCAAACTGATGAGGGCGGAGGGCTTTAAATCAGCCTCAATGGCATCAAATTGCGCAGCGCAACAGATGCGTAAATCCTGCTCCAGACGCGCGCAACCTTATAATCATCATTTAATTAATTGCACTCCAGTGATTTGTTAATGAGACCAGTTTCACTCACTCACTCACTCACTCACTCACTCACTCACTCACACACACACACACACACACACACACACACACACACACACACACACACACACACACACACACACACACACACACGTCTGCCTGTTTAGCCAGACATCTGCGGTTCCGCGTCTCTTGAGGGTTTTTGCTGAAGTCACGCTTCCACGCTCCGTTCCAGCTGGACGTATCGATTAGGTTTACTCACAAACGAGACACGTAAGGAGAAATTTAGAGAACGTAGTTTAAAGAAGTGAACTTTAATCTGATTCCCTCTCCTTTTGAAGAGAAACCAGATCATCTGACTAACCTGTAACCTGAATAAATCCTTGACTTTTGCGCAAATAGGTGAAGAGCCCGTAATCAAACGAGTTAATAAAACTTGTGCAAAACAATTGAAACTGCTCGGATTTTGTGTTTTTAAGCCAAATCTAAATTATTCTGCAGCAAAAACTCGGCAAATAAATCACAAAACCACAGAAATGCGCTCTCCACTGCGGAACCTGTGCAACTTTTGCTCCAAACAAGCACCACTGTCTTCATTTAAACCCGACCCTTGAATGAAATTTCTTGGCTCTGCCTGAATTCCTATTGAAATTCAAATCAGCTGGCTGTTACCCGACAGTGGGGGCTCGTTTTGGAGTTTCTCTGTGATTTAGGGCTCCGGCACCGAGCGTTGGAAAAACAACGGCGGCCACAGGGTAATTGGCACCTTAAATGCAAAGTTAGAAAATGAAGCAAAGTAATAAATAACCAGGACTATGCGAATGGAATCCTAAAGTGATGATGCAAGGTGTTGTGGACCTCCTCCTCAGACTTATTAATTATATAAAAAATGATCGTTGTTTTTCTTTAGTTCTGCAGAAAAGGTGCAGAAAAGGACACAAAAGCGCGCATTTCAGAGAATCCAGCGAGTTTCATCACGTTACAGATTTTAAAGAAATGTAAATCAAATGAATGAACTTTTTTCCAGCTTTACGCACAATACTCCGGGTTGAGCAGACAGCGCTTACCAGTGCGGACTAAAATCGTGGAGGTCTGTGTTTAGGCATGCACGGATACGCGAGGAGAGTGCATGAGGTGAATCCAGGGAGAAGAATGTCTCCAACGCAATGCAGGAAAAATGTTTGGAGAGGCGCTGTCCTGTTTTTCCAGCTTCCAAAATAAGCAGACATCGACTCTGATCAGAAGTGTTTATATTCCAAAACCGAGCGGCACCGTGGTCCAAAGTCACGCGCAGAAATCCGAGTCCAGAGTTATCCTTCGAAAACAGCGCAGAAACCCAAGCCGCTGCTTCTCCCTTCAGAACCGCTCCTCTCCGTCACCAAGTTTCTCCCAGAGCGCAGAACATGTCCAGAGCTCCCGATTAGCGCACTTGTCAACTGGACATAAAGTTTTCTGGCGCTAAAGGACGTGGCAGGAGGCTGAAGGCTGTCCCAGGCGGAATGTCCTAAAATCCATCAGTGTGCGTCTCTGCGCTGCGCTGCGCCTCGCGCGTCCCAGTCTCCTCTACCTCCGACAGTCCGGACTGTTTTCTCCAACTCTTTGTCAGGTTTACTAGATTTTTTCCTCTCTCTCTCTCTCTCTCTCTCTCTCTCTCTCTCTCACACACACACACACACACACACACACACTCGCACACACACCGCCCTCCGCCTTCCATCTGAGGGTGTCACTCCCCCTTCCTCCCTACTCTCGAGCACCTCCTGAATGTAATTTGAGCCGCTCTCTGGCCGCAGTGCCTTTGGGCCCAGCCTTCCTCCGCCCATTACGCTGCGGACACACACACACACACCAGTAGCGGTTTTAGGCACGGGCAGACAGGGCAGTTGCCCGGGGCGGCATTTTTTCATGACACAAAAGGGGCGCACAAGCGCTGAGTAAAAAAAAAAAAAGGAAATCTGCGCCTCACCGAGGTTTTCTATTATCTGTCATATGACAGTGTCTGGATTGGAAACAGCAAGTTGGCGCCCCCTGCAGCTGCAGGCGCTCCGTGCACCGTGTGTGTGTATGAAGAAGAGGAAGGGGAGGGGTGCGGCGGGGGAATTCACCTCTGGTGGGTCCAAATGAATTGAGAGGGTAGGGGCTGAATCAACTGTATCAACATGGCTAAAGTCGATCACATCTTGATGTTCTTCCACATTTCATTCATAATATCATAAACACAGGCCTATCATTCTTTCAGGTGTTTCTGAATTGTGTGAAATGGCCGAATAAAAAAAGGAAAAACAAAACGATTTTGTGGTCACCCCCCCATCAAGGTCAAATTGTTTAGTCCTGACTAAAGGAAACTTATTGAGTCAAGAGCCAAACAGAAGAGATGAATATAAAAAGGCTAAAACCAACAGGTGCCCGATTCAGGAATAAAAAAGAAAAAAAGAGGATAAAGATAAAGGTATGTTCGCTCTCATGATGAATGTTTTCAATTTTTTGAACCAGTTAACTGGGATTTTAACGGTTAAATTCTGTCAACTAGTTGCTAACAGAGCTAATAGGGCTGAAATATTGAAACGAATATTCAAATGGTTCGAATAAATTCCTTGAATCGTTTTTTACTGATTCAAACTAGGATTTGTTAAATGCTCGCTGTAGCCTGTGGCCTGCATGAACAACAACAAACACATGTTGATCAAGTTCACATAATAATAAATAAATCAACTCTACAAGCAGAAGAAAACACCCCAGTCACCACTAACTATCCTGTTTATTTATTGCAGATGGCTGCACTGATTATTTTTTACCTGGTTTGTTCTGTAAAAGTTGGCATTTTTGGTAGTCTACAGTTTTTTTTTATGTCAGTTTAAATTACAATTTCAGAGGCAATTGTAAAATATTATGGATCATGATAAAGATCTATTGGAGATCTACCCCAACTTTTGGACTGCTCTGCCAGTCACTGTGGCTCAAGCTGAGAGGAGCTTTTCAAAACTTGATCGTCATACCTGAGGTCACCTATATTTCAGGGGCGGCTCACTAACCTGGCTCTGATTAGTATCAATCACTCAGTAGGGGAGCAGATTTCATATGATGACATTATTGATGACTTTGCATCAAGGTTAGGTTTTAATTTTAGTTTGTGTTTTCTGTTGTAAGTGCAATGCTGTAGTGATTATCTTTAGTTTGTTATGTGTGAAATATTTTTGCTATTTAGAATATTTATTATATATTATGTGCATATATTCTTAATATTTAGTTAGTTTAGTTGTTTTTGTATATTTGATTCTATATATTTTGATACAGTACATAATGTATATTGCTTTACATTCTGACAACTTCATAGTAATTAATGTAAATATGTGCAACTTAGAAAAATGAATGTTCAGTAGTCGTTCTAATAAAACATGCCTGTTTGTAGAAAACGTGTGTGTTCGTGCAGGTGGGGTGGTGTGGTGGTGGTGGTGGTGGGGGCGGTTGGGGGGGCGCTCAAAGGGGGCCTCGCCCAGGGAGTAATTCCATGTCGAACCGCCACTGACACACACACACACACACACACACACACACACACACACACACACACACACACACACACACACACACACACACACACACACACACACACACACACACACACACACAGCGCGACTCCGGATCTGTCAGACGTCAAACAGCGCCTCCCCGTGGCCAAAGCAGCACTTTCGTGTGTAAAACTGAGTGAAACGCAAAACCGACCCATAGAAAACATTAAATGTCTTTAAGGCGCTCATGTTTATGAAATCCATGTGCACTAAGAATTATGATGCTTTCAGAAATTCTTCATTTAAGGTGGTATTCCTGATCCTGAATCCCCATCTGCAGGTTCTTGTTGGTTCCTTGCAGTTTATTCAGAGATCGGTCCCAGGGTCTGGAACAAGGAGGGAACCCTAACTCGTTCATATTCTCATCAAATACATTCTGGCCCTAAAATCATACTTTTAAAACGTTTGCAGTGGTCTCTAGTAGGAACAAACGCCTTAGGACGTACTCGGGAGGGGAAAAAAAGCTCCGGTGCACCTGTTGGAGGAGCTAGAAGTGAGCCACATAAGAGTTCAGCTCCAGACAGTAAGATTCGGGGGTAAAGCGGGTTGCCCTGAAAGGAACGATCCCGTCTCCCGGCAGAGAATGCTGCTGTTGTGTCCTTGGGCAAAACAACCAACCCGCCTTGCCTGCTGGTGGTGGTTGGAGGGACCAGTGGCCTCTGCCAGTGCGCCCACCAGGGAATTAATGAATGTGTGTGTGAATGGATGAATGATACACTGTAGTGCAGGCCCGGATGTAGGCATGGGCAAGGAGGGGCAATGCCCCCCTAAAAATAGTGACTGCCCCCCCCCCCCCCATACCCACCCCCACCCCCCCAATGCGATGACATGTAGAAATCCCAAATTTGAAAAGACATGATGAAGAAGGGTCGGAGAGCTCTCTCTCTCTCTCTCTCTCTCTCAGTCATTCATTCAAAGTAGCTGCTGATTGGTAGAGGCATAGGAAGGGTGTGGCAAGCCACTGCACTTGGTTCTCTGTGTCAGTCGCTTCACGCTCCCGGCAGACAGTCAGCAGCAGAACACAGAGACGCACCGTTATTATCCGAGCTCAACCACTGGTTGAAGTTTTCTTCTGCTGTCGGTTACTTGAATTATTTGGTTACTCTTTCTCAAGATTTTAGTTTGCCTCGTTCTCTTCTTTCATTTGTTTTTGAAGTGAACCGAGTCGACATGCCCAGGTTTCTGGTTTCTAAACCGAGCTACAGCGCTAAGGCACTAGCGGCAGAAGTCGGCTCGTCAGTGCTTCTCAACTCGCCACAACCAGTTGCACAAGCACCGCAGCCCCTCCTGCTGTCCCCGTCGCTACCAACCCAGCCGTCGCTGTGGGTGACACGGGCCTGAACAGTAGCGCACCGTCCCAACCCACCGCTCTTGATTTCACCAAGCGCCATTTTGGAAGAACATGCGCTCATTTTGCCCTGCCTGGGATCGTGGGAGACCATGGCTGGAACATTCAGTAAAGGTGGATGCGTGCTTTTGTCTCCCATGTTGCACATTTGGGGGGGACGATGATAGGGATTTGGTTTTCACAAAACAAGGATTTAATAATTGGAAAACAGCACTGGGAAAGGACACAGGATTCACAAAGCACACATCAGGTCAATGCCACCTAAAAAATGAAAAGCTGGTCTTAAATGTCCCAAAGAGAGGTCACAGGGGAAACAATAGGTAGTTTAATAAGCCCCACACAAATAAAAAAAAACCAGATAATATGTAAAAACTGTTGGAGAAGTAGTTCAGTTCCTAGCAGTAAATGAACTCGTGTGGAAAGCTCCAGTGGTGATGACTTCTCTGCAGGACTGATCTTAAAAATGGCCGACTACACTCTGGCCAAAGACTCCAGATTTAATGAAATAAACAAACACATTCCAGAAAATGCAAAATACACATCTCACAACATAAAAAATGAAATGATTGCAACACTGGCAAAAATGGTATTAAAAAGATCAAAGATAATTGTGACAAAGCAGATTGTGCAGGTTTTGCATTAAAAGTGATGGAACTAGGGACAGATGTGGAGAATCAGTCAGTCATGGTTAGATTTGTCTGTAATGGCATGCCAGAGGAACACCTGATCAGTCTGCTTGACCTCAGTCAGTTAAATGCTGGTTTTATTACCACCCAAACCCTTGAGCATCTCTCTGACTCAGGCTATAGTGCAGCTGAAATGATCAGTCAGTGCTGTGATGGATCTTCTGTCATGAGTGGGTCAGGGGTGGGGTTCAGGCCTTTCTGCAGAAGAAGGTAGGGAAGGATGTTCCCTACGTCCACTGCTACAGCCACCAGCTGCACTCGGCAGTGGTCCATGCAATGCAGGCAGAGCCATGTGCAAAAACCTTTTCTGATCTTTCAGGATCTCTACACTCATTTTTCCACCGTCATTATGAATCACAGAACTATGAGGCTCCCTCCCTGAAATGACGGTTGGAGATCAGGTGGACAAGCCACCATGATGGGACCAAGTGCCTTGTGGAGAATCAGGATGCTATCATGAGTATCCTGTCAGAGGTTACAGAGGACAGAGCTGCTGCTGTTGATATCTGTACAGAGGCATCAGGACTGCTGATGATGTTAAGGAGGCACAATTTCTTTGAAATAGGAAAATTCCTCCTAAAAGTTCTGGGTTCCTTGAAGTCTGCAAATTCAATGCTGCAGTCTCACTCTGTTGACCTGTGCTGTGCTTCAGAAGTAGTCTCTGCATCTCTGCAGGCTTTGAAGCAGATGAGAGATGAGGAAAGTGAGGCATTAACCAGCACACCTGCACCAGCTGCTAAAAGACAGAAAAACAAGCTGACTGCTAACAGGAAGCGTTGTAATGTCCACTGTGGGCCACGCAGAAGACTCCACGACTCCTAGCCAGGCTCTGAAGAGAGCTCTTCACTACATTTTGGACATAGTCGTTGTAGCGATGGAGACAAGATCCTCCAAAAGCAATCTCCATCTCATGAAAGCCGTTAACTGCCTTCAACCTCAGTCTCCCTCTTTTCTGGATCCTGACGTGTTACGTCCTCTGCAGAAAATGACAGGAAGTGACAAACTTTCCAATGAGATTCTTGTTGCAACAATAATGTTGGAGAAAGAGTTAAAAAAGACTGATGATGAT